TATAAAGAAACCCTGAATGTGTAGGTGTGTCCAAACCTTTGACTGGTACTGTACAGTTGAAGTCGGAAGTTTACATACACTTAGGTTGGAGTCATTAAAACTTGTTTTTCAACCACTCCACAAATTTCTTGTTAACAAACTATAGTTTTGGCAAGTCGGTTAGGACATTTACTTTGTGCATGACACAAGTAATCTTTCCAACAATTCTTTACAGACAGATTATTTCACTTATAATTCACTGTATCACAATTCCAGTGGGTCAGAAGTTTACATACACTAAGTTGACTGTGCCTTTAAACAGCTTGGAAAATTCCAGAAAATGATGTCATGGCTTTAGAAGCTTCTGATAGGCTAATTGACATCATTTTAGTCAATTGGAGGTGTACCTGTGGATGTATTTCAAGGCCTACCTTCAAACTCAGTGCTCCAAAACCGCCATAAAAAAGCCAGACTACGGTTTGCAACTGCACATGGGGACAAAGATCGTACTTTTTGGAGAAATGTCCTCTGGTCTAATGAAACATAAATAGAACTGTTTGGCCATAATGACCATCGTTATGTTTGGAGGAAAAAGGGGGTAGCTTGCAAGCCAAAGAACACCATCCCAACCATGAAGCACGGGGGTGGCAGCATCATGCTGTGGGGGTGCTTTGCTGCAGGAGGGACTGGTGCACTTCACAAAATAGATGGCATCATGAGGAAGGAAAATTATGTGGATATATTGAAGCAACATCTCAAGACATCAGTCAGGAAGATAAAGCTTGGTCGCAAATGGGTCTTCCAAATTGACAATGACCCCAAGCATACTTCCAAAGTTGTGGCAAAATGGCTTAAAGACAGCCAAAGTCTAAAGGTAGTTGGAGTGGCCATCACAAAAGCCCTGACCTCAAGCCTATGTAAAGTTTGTGTGGACAGAACTGAAAAAGGTGTGGTGGCCGAGCAAGGAGGCCTACAAACCTGACTCCAGTTACACCAGCTCTGTCAAGCGGCATGGGCCAAAATTCACCCAACTTATTGTTGGGAAGCTTGTGGAGGTACCCGAAACGTTTGACCCAAGTTAAAACAATTTAAAGGCAATGCTACAAAATACTATTTGAGTGTATGTAAACTTCTGGACTCCACTGAGAATGTGATGAAAGAAATACAAGCTGTGCTTTTAGCACAGTTGGTTAGCTCAGTTGGGTAGAGCATGGCGCTTGCAACGCCAGGGTTGTGGGTTCGTTTCCCACGGGGGGGGGCCAGTATGAAAATGTATGCACTCGCTAATGTAAGTCGCTCTGGATAAGAGCGTCTGCTAAATTACTAAAATGAAAATGTAAAAATGAAATAAATCATTTTCTCTACTATTATTCTGACATTTCACATTCTTAAAATGTCCCCATTCACTGCCCTGGGGCATTGGGATATTTTTTTTTAGATCAGAGGAAAGATTGCCTCCTACTTGCCCTCCAACACCACTTCCAGCAGCATCTGGTCTCGGATCCAGGGACCGACCAGGATCAACCCTGCTTAGCTTCAGAGGCAAGCTAGCAGTGGGATGCATGCCACATGTCTTCTTCTCTCTGCTCTGCTGGAGGGAGACACAGACAGACAGGCAGACAGACACCCTTGTCCACGTTTCCTCCCAGGCACTTCCTCTCTGTCCCCGCAGCCAGCCAACCAGCCAGGCAAGCTGAGACAGAAGCTGTGGTATGGTGGCCCTGCATCTGCCACTTCCACAGCCATTCCACCGCAATGCAGGCATCCTGAAACCAAACCCACACAGCTGCCATCCATGCACCCTGGCCTGGAAACTGCAACATGAGAAATACTAAGAGAGTTATTCAGTGAAAAAAAAAAAGATTTGTTCCTTGGTTGGACTGTAAGGTAGCGACAGTACAGTATACCTTTTCCACCTAGCAACATGAGCCCCCAGCCAGTATCTTCCTGCATCTATCTAGAACGCCGAGCATCAGCAGCATAGATATTAGATAATAAACTTTGGCTGGAGACTTGAACAGGATGTTCTTTGATAGTGGGGCCAGATTTGCCCCAGTAATATGATAGATACCCTTTGTTGACAGTGACTTCCTTCAAGGCAAGGCAACAGCGAAGATGGCGTGTCTTTCAGAGGAAGAGAGCTGGCCAAGAAGAAGGACCAATTTTTTGCATTTCTCTGGAATGTTTCTTGGAAATGCTGCGTCACTGGTTTCAGGAAGGGAGTATTAGAGATTATGTCGGGGGGCGGAAGTAGAGTAGAGAGCTCGAAAGGACAGTGTGTCATCCAGGAGAGAGTGACAATGAAGGCATTGAGAGGAAGATAGAAAGAAGGAGAGGGAAAGGGAGAGGGGGAGACTGTCTGACTGATGGAAGACTTCCCCTGTCTCCTAATCTGGTTAGGGTGCTTGTTTAGCTCTCAGGCAGAGGAGTTAGCCTGATTATTTCTCTCCCTGTCTCTGGCAGCAGCCAGCCACAACAACAGATCCAGACAAACTACACAGTAACAAGACATTGATTGCGCTTGAGGCAAATGAGGATGCATAGACATGAAACATAGAGGTTGGCTAAGCTCCTACACCTTTGAAAGTGAAGGGGACTACCCTATAGTATACCTACCCTATACACTGAATGTACAAATCATTAAGAACATTCTTCCTAATATTGGGTTGCCTCAATTCGTCGGGGCATGGACTCTACAAGGTGTCAAAAGTGTTCCACAGGGATGCTGGCCCACGTTGACTCCAATGCTTCCCACAGTTGTGTCAAGTTGGCTGGATGTCCTTTGGGTGGTGGACTATTTTTGATACACACAGTAAACTGTTGAGCATGAAAAACCCAGCAGCGTTGCAGTTCTTGACACAAACCGGTGCGCCTGGCACCTACTACCATACCCCGTTCAAAGGCACTTAAATATTTTGTTTTGCCCATTCACCCTCTGAATGGCACACATACACAATCCATGTCTCAAGGCTTAAAAGCCCTTCTTTAACCTGTCTCCTCCCCTTCATCTACACTGATTGAAGTGGAGTTAACAGGTGACATCAATAAGGGATCATAGCTTTCACCTGGACTCACCTGGTCAGTTTATGTCATGGAAAGAGCAGGTGTTCATAATGTTTTGTACACTCAGTGTACATGCAGCAGGTTGATACTGTATAGTGGAAGCACAGTCAACTTGGTGTGCTCTTTAAAAGCAGCACAGGAAGGCAAATGTGTCTGCGTAGGTGTATCAGTCAATCAGTGAGAAGTGTGTGTGTGTGTGTGTGTCTGTGTGTGTGTGTAGGTTCACTCAGCTGATTTATCTGTTGTCTATATTAGTGTTTGGTTTTGCGTGGGTGTGGTTGTCCCACATAGACATGTTTTTCATTAGAAAATAAAGATTAGCCACAGTCCAGTATCCACTCTGTCTCTGTCTCTGTCACACCTAAACACCCATGAATTTCAATTGCTAATCAAAAACAAATGAAATACAAATGACAAAATGTGTCCTTTTCTATGTGCTGTGTACCGTTGGGTCTCCGGGCATGACGCATAGACAGAAGAGGATTTTAAAGGAGATGTGGCCTATTTAAACATAATTTAATTTGGCTTAGACCTATGATGTTTATATTACTCCAATGCTGATATGGTGCAGTAATATAGCCATTTCATGTCCTAGTATACGTAGCATACGTATGTTGTATAATAGTATATTTGGTGTAGTAGATAGGAGTTTCAGTGTGACTAATAACAGACTCCAGTGGAGCCCTGGTGATGGAGTTACCTCTCCCAGAGCACTTTCCCTCGTCCCCTGTGACACACACACACTCACTCACACACACACAAAACACACACACACACACACAGTGCTCCTTTGGGGCCTCTGAAGCTGCAGCGCCCTAATCTACTCATGGAGCCATTATTACCACCTTAACCTGGCCATTACCCCGTCACTAACACTGCCTGCAAATGACTGGGCCTCAGTCATAGTGACTATGTTACAATGTGGGGTATTAGTACTATGGTATAAATATTAGTAATACAGTACAGTAATGTGTTAACCATTCTGGAAATACATGCCACACTGTGTGTGACCCATTGCCGTAGTGCCATGTATCAGTGAAAAGGACTAGTTAGGATAGTTCCTGTCTTGTAAAGTACAGTATGTATTAACGACCCTCTAATTGGATTGAGAAAAGGAATCTATAGAAGAATAAATCTGGTTGGAAATCTGTCATGTAATGAAGTATGTTGTTTTTCTGTCTTTGCAGTACATGGGCTGCATTGAGGTGTTGAAGTCGATGCGATCGCTGGACTTCAACACTCGGACCCAGGTGACGAGGTAAGCGAGGGTTGAGTCTGTCCTGCTAGTGATGAGTCAGTAGAACCCGATCTGAGCAGAGGGAGAAGGTACACACGAGTCACAGTGATACCAAATCAGGTAGAGATTCACAGGCAGGCCAGCCCTGCTTTCCCCTGTAATGATACAGCACCCGATGTCACAGGAAGGCCAAAAAGATGATCAAGGACATCAACCACCCGAGCCACTGCCTGTTCACCCTGCTATCATCCAGAAGGCGAGGTCAGTACAGGTGCATCAAAGCTGGGACCGAGAGACTGAAAAACAGCTCCTATCTCAAGGCCATCAGACTGTTAAATAGCCATCACTAGCACATTAGAGGCTGCTGCTGCCTATTGAAATCACTGGCCACTTTAAGAAATGGAACACTAGTCACTTTAATAATGTTTACATATCTTGCACTACTCATCCCATATGTATATACTGTATTCTATAATATTCTACTGTATCTTAGTCCATGCCACTCTGTCATTGCTCGTCCATATATGTATATATTCTTAATTCCATTCCTTACTTAGATTTGTGTGTATTGGGTATAAGTTGTGAAATTGTTAGATATTACTTGTTAGATGTTACTGCACTGTCATAAGGTGAGGTGTATGTGGGGTGGAAGTCAGGCGCAGGACACCGAGGCTTAGTCCAAAAACGTTTACTAAAGTCCCAAAGAAACAATGTAATATACAAAAAGGCACGGCCTCAAAACAACAAAGGAGGCGACTATGCGCAATTACGCACAAACAAGCGTAATTACAAAATACACAAAACACGACACGTAACCCAAACGACTGGCGAAAAACAACACACAACTAATCCATACAAACACAGGGAACTTATAGGACATGTAATCAACGCAAACCAGACACAGGTGAAAAGGACAGACAAAAGCAATCGCACATGAAACATCCAACGGTGGCAGCTAGTACTCCGGGGACGGCGAACGCCTTTGCCTGCCCGAACCAGGAGGAGGAGCAGTCTCGGCCGAAACCGTGACAGTACCCCCCCCTTGACGCGCGGCTCCAGCCGTGCGCCGACCCTGGCCTCGGGGACGGCCAGGAGGACGCGGACCCGGGCGCGTGGGATGCCCATGGTGGAACTCTGTCAGGAGGGATGGATCGAGGATGTCCCTCCTGGGCACCCAGCACCGTTCCTCCGGACCGTACCCCTCCCACTCCACGAGATATTGGAGACCACTCCTCCGGCGCCTGGAGTCCAAGATGGTCCGGACCCTGTACGCCGGGGCCCCCTCGATGTCCAAAGGGGGCGGAGGGGTCTCTCCTATCTCCTCTTCTTGGAGTGGGCCAGCTACCACCGGCCTGAGAAGAGACACATGGAACGAGGGGTTAATATTTTTGTACTCAATAGGCAGTTGTAATCTGTAACACACCTCGTTCAATCTTCTCAGGACTTTGAAGGGCCCCACAAACCGCCGACCCAGCTTCCGGCAGGGCAGGCGGAGGGGCAGGTTTCGAGTCGAGAGCCAGACTCGATCTCCCGGTGCGTACACCGGCCCCTCACTGCGGTGGCGATCGGCGCTCGCCTTGTGTTGACGGATGGCACGCTGCAGATGGACATGGGCAGCGTCCCACGTCTCCTCCGAGCGCCGAATCCACTCGTCCACCGCAGGGGCCTCGGTCTGGCTCTCGTGCCACGGTGCCAGGACCGGCTGATACCCTAAAATACACTGGAAAGGTGTTAATCCGGTGGAGGAGTGGCGGAGAGAGTTCTGGGCCATCTCTGCCCAGGGGATATACCTCGACCACTCCTCCGGCCGGTCCCGGCAATAGGACCTCAAAAACCTACCCACATCCTGGTTCACACGTTCAACCTGCCCATTGCTCTCTGGGTGGTACCCCGAGGTAAGGCTAACCGAGACCCCCAGGCGTTCCATAAAAGCCCCCCAGACTCTGGAGGTGAACTGGGGACCTCGGTCGGACACAATATCCTCGGGGACCCCATAGTGCCGGAACACGTGGGTAAAGAGGGCCTCGGCGGTCTGTAGGGCAGTAGGGAGACCCGGCAGTGGGAGGAGACGACAGGCCTTAGAAAACCGATCCACAACGACCAAAATGGTGGTATTACCCTGGGAAGGGGGTAGATCGGTCACAAAATCTACCGAGAGGTGGGACCATGGTCGTTGTGGAACGGGCAGAGGATGTAACTTACCCCTGGGCAAATGTCTAGGTGCCTTACACTGGGCACACACCGAGCAGGAGGAGACATAAACCCTCACATCCCTGGCTAACGTTGGCCACCAGTATTTCACGCTAAGGCAGTGCACCGTCCGACCAATACCAGGATGTCCAGAGGAGGGTGATGTATGAGCCCAAGAAATAAGCCGATCACGAACCTCGAGCGGAACGTACGTCCGCCCCACAGGACACTCGGGGGGAGTAGGGTCGGTACGCAGCGCCCGCTCGATTTCCGCATCGACCTCCCATACTACCGGAGCCACCAGACAAGACTCCGGAAGTATGGAAGTGGGCTCAATGGACCTCTCCTCCGTGTCATACTGCCGGGACAGTGCGTCTGCCTTACCGTTCTGGGACCCAGGGATGTATGTGATCTTAAAAACAAACCGGGTCAGGAACATGTTCCACCTAGCCTGACGAGGGTTCAATCTCCTAGCTGCCCGGATGTACTCCAGGTTACGGTGATCAGTCAGAATGAGAAAAGGGTGTTGAGCCCCCTCAAGCCAATGCCTCCACACCTTTAGGGCCTGGACTACAGCTAACAGCTCCCTGTCCCCAACGTCATAATTGCGCTCCGCCGAGCTGAGCTTCTTGGAGTAGAACGCACAGGGGCGGAGCTTAGGTGGCGTGCCGGACCGTTGTGACAGGACTGCCCCAATACCGGTCTCGGACGCGTCCACCTCTACTTGGAAAGGCAAAGAGGGATCCGGATGCGCCAGCACCGGGGCCGAGGCGAACAGGTTCTTCAGCTTGACAAATGCCCTGTCCGCCTCAGCTGACCACTGCAAGCGCACCGGACCCCCCTTTAGCAGAGACGTAATGGGAGCTGCAACCTGTCCAAAGCCCCGGATAAACCTCCGGTAGTAATTAGCAAAACCCAAGAACCGCTGCACCTCTTTTACGGTGGTTGGAGTTTGCCAATTACGCACAGCCGATACCCGATCTACCTCTATCTCCACGCCAGACGCGGACAACCGATAACCCAAAAAAGAGACGGACTCCTGGAAGAACAAGCATTTCTCTGCCTTGACATACAAGTCATGCTCCAACAGTCGTCTCAATACTCGGCGCACCTGGGCTACATGCTCGGTTCGTGTAGAAGAATACACTAGAATGTCGTCAATGTACACCACTACACCCTGCCCATGCATGTCCCGGAAAATCTCATCAACAAAGGATTGGAAGACTGAAGGAGCATTCATTAACCCGTACGGCATGACGAGATACTCGTAATGACCCGAGGTGGTGCTAAATGCTGTTTTCCATTCATCCCCCTCCCTAATGCGCACCAAATTGTACGCGCTCCTGAGATCCAACTTTGTGAAGAAACGCGCTCCGCGTAATGACTCCGTCATCGTCGCAATCAGTGGAAGTGGGTAACTGTATTTTACTGTGATCTGATTGAGACTACGGTAATCAATACACGGGCGCAATCCCCCGTCCTTCTTCTTCACAAAGAAGAAACTCGAGGAGACCGGAGAAGTAGAGGGCCGTATGTATCCCTGTGCCAAGGACTCGGCTATGTAAGTCTCCATAGCCGCAGTTTCCTCTTGAGACAGGGGATACACATGACTCCTGGGAAAAGCTGCTCCGGTCTGGAGATTTATCGCACAGTCCCCCTGTCTATGAGGAGGTAGCCGTGCTGCCCTCGATTTGCTAAACGCTAGTGCTAAATCCTCATACTCGGGGGGAATGCGCAGTGCGGGCACTTGGTTCGGACTCTCTACCGAGGTCGCCCCTATGGAAACACCTAGACATCTCCCTACACACTGGACAGACCACTCCATAAGAGCCCTCTGTTGCCACGCTATGGTAGGATCGTGGGTGCTTAACCAGGGAAGCCCCAACACCACTGGGTACGCAGGAGAGTCAATCAGATAGAACTGAATGATTTCCTCATGACCCCCCTGCGTAGTCATCGTCAGCGGTGCTGTGACATCCCTGATCAGACCCGATCCCAACGGCCGGCTGTCTAATGCATGGACAGGGAATGGAACTTCTACCGGCCGAAGGGGAATTCCTAACCTAGCACAAAATGCCCGATCAATAAAGTTCCCAGCTGCGCCTGAATCTACTAGCGCCTTATGCTGGGAATGAGGTGCCACCTGTGGAAAACGCACAGGAATGCTCATGTGACCAACAGAGAGCTCTGGGTAAGTGGGGCGCCTACTCACCTGAAATGACTCCCCAGTGCGTGACCTGTTGTCCCCTCTCTCAGAAAACCCTCCCCAGCACCTGGCCGCGGTGTGTCCTCCACGGCCACAGTTGGTGCAGGGGTTGGCCCTCCTCGGGTTCTCCCTCCTCCTCTCTCTAGCGCCAGCACCCCCGAGCTCCATAGGAATTGGCTCAGAGGTGCTGGAGGATGGAATGGACGACCCCCACTCGGGACGTCCGCGGGCGGCCAGCAGGGTGTCAAGCCTGATGGAGATGTCCACCAGCTGGTCGAAGCATAGGTTGGTGTCCCTGCAGGCCAGCTCACGACGAACGTCCTCTCGCAGGCTACACCGGTACTGGTCGATGAGGGCCCTCTCATTCCATCCCGCATCCGCAGCTAACGTCCGGAACTCCAGTGCGAACTCCTGTGCGCTCCTCTTCTCCTGTCGGAGGTAGAACAGACGCTCCCCCGCCGCCTTCCCTTCAGGTGGGTGATCGAAGACTGCCCGGAAGCGGCGGGAGAACTCAGCGTAGGTGATGGTAGCTGCGTCTATTCTCCTCCATTCGGCGTTGGCCCATTCCAACGCCTTACCGGATAGACAGGAGATGAGGGCGGAGACGCTCTCGTATCCCGAGGGCGCTGGGTGTATAGTAGCCAGGTATAGTTCTATCTGCAGGAGGAACCCCTGACACCCGGCTGCAGAACCGTCATATGCCCTCGGGAGCGAGAGCCGAATGCCACTGGGTTCCGGTGCTGAGAGAGGAGGACTGGCCGTTGGTGATGGGATAGTGGGCGATGGCGTGGGCACTTCCCTAGTCACCAAACGACTCAGCTTGTTGGACACCTCGTCAAGGGCGGCCTCAAGTTGCTGGAACAAGATGTCTTGATAGCGTAACCGCTCCTCCAGCAACCTGGGTGCCGCCACTGCTCCTGCTGACTCCATGATGGTGTGTTGTTCTGTCATAAGGTGAGGTGTATGTGGGGTGGAAGTCAGGCGCAGGACACCGAGGCTTAGTCCAAAAACGTTTACTAAAGTCCCAAAGAAACAATGTAATATACAAAAAGGCACGGCCTCAAAACAACAAAGGAGGCGACTATGCGCAATTACGCACAAACAAGCGTAATTACAAAATACACAAAACACGACACGTAACCCAAACGACTGGCGAAAAACAACACACAACTAATCCATACAAACACAGGGAACTTATAGGACATGTAATCAACGCAAACCAGACACAGGTGAAAAGGACAGACAAAAGCAATCGCACATGAAACATCCAACGGTGGCAGCTAGTACTCCGGGGACGGCGAACGCCTTTGCCTGCCCGAACCAGGAGGAGGAGCAGTCTCGGCCGAAACCGTGACATGCACTGTCGGAGCTAGAAGCACAAGCATTTCGCTACACCTGCAATAACATCTGCTAAACACGTGAATGTGACAAATAGAGCGTCTGCTAAATGACTAAAAAATGTAAAAAAAATAAAATAAAACTAAAAAGTGATTTGATTTGATTTTAGAGGGAAACAGTTCCTGCAGAAGGCCCAGAATAGTCCCCTGTAGCTCAGTTGGTAGAGCATGGCGCTTGCAACGCCAGGGTTGTGGGTTCGCTTCCCACGGGGGGCCAGTATGAAAATGTATGCACTCACTAACTGTAAGTCGCTCTGGATAAGAGCGTCTACTAAATGACTAAAATGTCAAATGTAAATACTGTGTGTTGTGTAAACCCCATTATGACTGAGTCATTTATGTATGTACAGTAAATGGCACATGTGAGCTTTTGCTGTGTGTGTGACTGTGTACACTCACACATTGTGTGTTTGTGTGTGTCTGTGTGCGCGTACACGTGTGATGCTGGTGCTATGAAGGTGGCCAGGCGGGGCTCCTTGCCTGAGTTGGAGCAGTGTAGTCCCTCCCTATATTTCTCTCCTCCATGATCGATTGTCAGTAATCTGAGCCCGCACACACACAGGGCTTAAATGCTGGGGGAGAGGCAGAGATGGAGTGATGGAGAGATCTATTATTGATGATGCTCTCTAATGACTGTGGAGAGCTGAGCTGCAGTGGTCCACATGGACTCTACCCTGTCTGCCTGCCTGCCTGTCTGTCTGGCTGTCTGTCTGCCTGTCTGTGGGAGACAGAGTACAACAACAAGGGAGAATAATAATAATAATAATATGCCATTTAGCAGACGCTTTTATCCAAAGCGACTTACAGTCATGTGTGCTCCCGGGGATCGAACCCACTACCCTGGCGTTACAAGCGCCATGCTCTACCAATTGAGCTACAGAGGACCAATATGCTACAATGGGACTGTACTTGGCCAGGACAGAGACTGCAGACAAACACGCCAAAATACTCACGGCCAGTGTCCATGCACTGCTATTCTCCCAGGCCTCGAGTTGAGTCACATGCAAATGCTGTTTTTCAAAACTGTCTTAGAAGTCCTTTACTGGAGATGGACGCTGCTGCTTTTTAAATATTTACGAGCCACTTGATAGGGGCCGGGTCCTTGACTCTAGCTGGCAGCCACCACCTGTCCCATCTGTCCCCTGACAGACCCTGTGTTCCGGCTATCTCTGCCACCACACAGGGGGACAACATCATCAGACATCATCACTCATTAGTCCCCAAGGCTGCCCACACTCACAGTTAGAGCAGCCTAATGGCATAGAATATACTGCAGTAGTACACCACAAAATGTGGCATGGCTCTCCCATTGCTTCTGAATCAGGAGAATAAATGGAGAGGAAAGTGAATGCACATTGAATAGAGCCTGATGAGCCCATAAATCCTCAGACCAAGACATCAATCATGCTGAGATGTTTTTGTTCCTTACCCAAACAGGATTTACTGGGAAGAATGTGTTTATTTGAACTCAGCTGAATATGATATGAATATTAAGTGTTCCTCCTGTTAGCCTTGTGTAAACTGAGATTAGACATCTTCTGTCCTGCTTTGTTCTGAGGGACCTTGCCGTGACCTTTGAACTGAGATGGATTAGTGACCCCTGACCTCTGACCTGAGGCTGAGGCCACTGAGAATAGTAAAGAATAGTACCTAAGAATAGTAAAGCCCCCTTAACTGGCTCAAATAGCCGACCAATCAGGCTGTTACCAAACCTTAGTAACTTTTGGAAAAAATTATGTTTGACCAGATAAAATGCTATTTTACAGTAAACAAATTGACAACAGATTTTCAGCACGCTTATAGGGAAGGACATTCAACAAGCACAGCACTTACATTTACATTTAAGTCATTTAGCAGACGCTCTTATCCAGAGCGACTTACAAATTGGTGCATTCAATTTATGATAGCTAGTGGGACAACCACCCAATATATATATATATATATATTTCTTTTTATGGGGGGAGGGGGAGGGGGGGGTAGAAGGATTGCTTTTATACTATTCCAGGTATTCCTTAAAGAGGTAGGGTTTCAAGTGTCTCCGGAAGGTAGTCAGTGACTCCGCTGTCCTGGCGTCGTGAGGGAGCTTGACTGGGATGAGCGGGAACTGTGCTTCCGTAGAGGTAGGGGGGCTAGCAGGCCAGAGATGGATGAACGTAGTGCCCTCGTTTGGGTGTAGGGTCTGATCAGAGCCTGAAGGTAAGGAGGTGCTGTTCCCCTCACAGCTCCGTAAGCAAGCACCATGGTTTTGTAGTAGATGCAAGCTTCAACTGGAAGCCAGTGGAGTGTGTGGAGGAGCGGGGTGACATGAGAGAACTTGGGAAGGTTGAACACCAGATGGGCTGCAGCATTCTGGATAAGTTGTAGGGGTTTAATGGCACAGGCAGGGAGCCCAGCCAACAGCGAGTTGCAGTAATCCAGACAGGAGATGACAAGTGCCTGGATTAGGACCTGTGCTGCTTTCTGTGTAAGGTAGGGTCGTACTCTGCGAATGTTGTAGAGCATGAACCAGCAGGATCGGGTCACCGCTTTGATGTTAGCGGAGAACGACAGGGTGTTGTCCAGGGTCACGCCAAGGTACTTTGTACTCTGTGAGGAGGACACAATGGAGTTGTCAACCGTGATGGCGAGATCATGGAGTGGACAGTCCTTCCCCGGGAGGAAGAGCAGCTCCGTCTTGCCGAGGTTCAGCTTGAGGTGGTGATCCGACATCCACACTGATATGTCTGCCAGACATGCAGAGATGTGATTCGCCACCTGGTTATCAGAAGGGGGAAAGGAGAAAATGAATTGTGTGTCGTCTGCGTAGCAATGATAGGAGAAACCATGTGAGGATATGACAGAGACAAGTGACTTGGTGCATAGAGAGAATAGGAGAGGGCCTAGAACTGAGCCCTGGGGGAAACCAGTGGTGAGAACACGTGGTGCGGAGACAGATTCTCGCCACGCCACCTGGTAGGAGCGACCTGTCAGGTAGGACGCAATCCAAGAGTGAGCAGCGCCGGAAATGCCCAACTCAGAGAGGGTGGAGAGGAGGATCTGATGGTTCACAGTATCAAAGGCAGCAGATAGGTCTAGAAGGATAAGAGCAGAGGAGAGAGAGTTAGCTTTAGCAGTGCGGAGAGCCTCCGTGACACAGAGAAGAGCAGTCTCAGTTGAATGACCAGTCTTGAAACCTGACTGGTTTGGATCAAGAAGGTAATTCTGAGAGAAATAGCAGGAGAGTTGTCTAGAGAAGGCACGCTCAAGAGTTTTGGAGAGAAAAGAAAGAAGGGATACTGGTCTGTAGTTGTTAACATTGGAGGGATCGAGTGTAGGTTTTTTGAGGAGGGGTGCAACTCTCGCTCTCTTGAAGACGGAAGGGACATAGCCAGTGGTCAAGGATGAGTTGATGAGCGAGGTGAGGTAAGGGAGAAGGTCTCCGGAAATGGTCTGGGGAAGAGAGGAGGGGATAGGGTCAAGCGGGCAGGTTGTTGGGCGGCCGGCCATCACAAGTCGCAAGATTTCATCTGGAGAGAGAGGGGAGAAAGAAGTCAAAGCATAGGGTAGGGCAGTGTGAGCAGGACCAGCGGTGTCATTTGACTTAATAAATGAGGATCGGATGTCGTCAACCTTCTTTTCAAAATGAAATTGAAAATGAAATGAAATTTAGAGTGGTAGAAAGTGGCTTTTGCAGCAGAAACAGAGGAAGAAAATGTAGAGAGGAGGGAGTGAAAGGATGACAGGTCCGCAGGGAGTCTAGTTTTCCTCCATTTCCGCTCGGCTGCCCAGAGCCCTGTTCTGTGAGCTCGATATGAGTCGTCAAGCCACGGAGCAGGAGGGGAGGACCGAGCCGGCCGGGAGGATAGGGGACATAGAGAGTCAAAAGATGCAGAAAGGGAGGAGAGGAGGGTTGAGGAGGCAGAATCAGGAGATTGGAGGGAGAAGGATTTAGCAAAGGGAAGAGATGATAGGATGGAAGAGCAGAGAGTAGTGGGAGAGAGAGAGCGAAGGTTGCGATGGCACATTACCATCTGAGTAGGGACAGAGTGAGTAGTGTTGAAGGAGAGCGAGAGAGAAAAGGATACAAAGTAGTGGTCGGAGACTTGGAGGGGAGTTGCAGTGAGATTAGTAGAAGAACAGCATCTAGTAAAGATGAGGTCAAGTTTATTGCCTGCCTTGTGGGGGGGGGGGGGCAGTGAGAGGGTGAGGTCAAATGAGGAAAGGAGTGGAAAGAAGGAGGCAGAGAGAAATGAGTCAAAGGCAGACGTAGGGAGGTTAAAGTCACCCAGAACTGTGAGGGGTGAGCCATCCTCAGGAAAGGAACTTATCAAGGTGTCAAGCTCATTGATGAACTCTCCAAGGGAACCTGGAGGGCGATAAATGATAAGGATGTTAAGCTTGAATGGGCTAGTGACTGTGACAGCATGGAATTCAAATGAGGAGATAGACAGATGGGTCAGGGGGAAAAGAGAGAATGTCCACTTGGGAGAGATGAGGATTCCTGTGCCACCGCCGCGCTGACCAGATGCTCTCGGGGTATGCGAGAACACATGATCAGACAAGGAAAGAGCAGTAGGAGTAGCAGTGTTTTCTGTGGTAATCCATGTTTCCATCGGCGCCAAGAAGTCGAGGGACTGGAGGGTAGCATAGGCTGAGATGAACTCTGCCTTGTTGGCCGCAGAATGGCAGTTCCAGAGGCTGCCGGAGACCTGGAACTCCATGTGGGTTGTGCGCGCAGGGACCACCAGATTAGAGTGGCAGCAGCCACGCGGTGTGAAGCGTTTGTATGGCCTGTGCAGAGAGGAGTGAACAGGGATAGACAGACACATAGTTGACAGGCTACAGAAAAGGCTACAATAATGCAAAGGAGATCGGAATGAAATTAACTAAACATCTGGGAAAGCGAGAGAGCGGGGCCTCCCTCACTTACCTTTCACTGAAGCACTCATATATAACTCACCCAACTTCCACTTTAGAAATTACACAAATGACTGAATGATAAAAAGATTGTGGGGGCTGTTTTGTTAGACTTCAGTGCGGCTTTTGACATTATCGATCATAGTCTGTTGCTGGAAAAACGTATGTGTTATGGCTTTACACCCCCTGCTATATTGTGGATAAAGAGTTACCTGTCTAACAGAACACAGAGGGTGTTCTTTAATGGAAGCCTCTCCAACAAAATCCAGGTAGAATCAGGAATCCCCCAGGGCAGCTGTCTGGGCCCCTTACTTTTTTCAATCTTTACTAACGACCTGCCACTGGCTTTGAGTAAAGCCAGTGTGTCTATGTATGCGGATGACTCAACACTATACACGTCAGCTACCACAGTGACTGAAATGACAGCAACACTTAACAAATAGCTGCAGTTAGTTTCAGAATGTGTGGCAAGGAATAAGTTAGCCCTAAATATTTCAAAAACTAAAAGCATTGTATTTGGGACAAATCATTCACTAAACCCTAAACCTCAACTAAATCTTGTAATGAATAATGTGGAAATTGAGCAAGTTGAGGAGACTAAATTGCTTGGAGTAACCCTGGATTGTAAACTGTCATTGTCAAAACATATTGATACAACAGTAGCTAGGATGGGGAGAAGTCAGTCTGTAATAAAGCGCTGCTCTGCATTCTTAACAGCACTATCAACAAGGCAGGTCCTACAAGCCCTAGTTTTGTCGCACCTGGACTACTGTTCAGTCGTGTGGTCAGGTGCCCCAAAGAGGGACTTAGGAAAATCGCAATTGGCTCAGAACAGGGCAGCACAGCTGGCCCTTGGATGTACACAGAGAGCTAACGTTAATAATATGCATGTCAATGTCTCCTGGCTCAAAGTGTAGGAGAGATTGACTTCATCACTACTTGTATTTGTGAGAGGTATTGACATGTTGAATGCACCGAGCTGTCTGTTTGAACTACTGGCACACAGCTCGGACACCCATGCATACCCCACAACACATGCCACCAGAGGTCTCTTCACAGTCCCCAAGTCCAGAACAGACTATGGGAGGCGCACAGTACTATATAGAGCCATGACTACATAGAACTCTATTCCACATCAAGTAACTCAAGCAAGCATTAAAATTATATTTAAAAAACAGATAAAAATACATCTTATGGAACAGCGGGGACTGTGAAGCAACACAAACATAGACACATGCATACAAACGATAACATACTATGATGAGTGTGATAGAAGGAGTCAGGCGCAGGAGGGTAATCACCGAATGCAGAGTTTATTCCGTCGTACACAAATAGCGCTGGATAGCGACACACGAAACAGGCACAGGGGAAAATCTACCCTGGCAATACAAGGTAACGGTAGCTCCAACAATAACAGGCACAGGGGAAATATCTACCCCGGCAATATCTCCACCGAGCTACACTACTCTCACGAATAAACAATCACCCACAAGGACAAGGGGGGCAGAGGGAACACGTATAGATGGACTAATGAGGGGATAAGAACCAGGTGTGTGTAATTAACAAAACAAGACAAATGGAATGATGATATATGGAGCGTCAGTGGTTAGTAAGCCGGTGACAACGAACGCCGAAGCCTGCCCGAACAAGGAGGGGAGGCAGCCTCGGAGGAAGGGGTGACACATACGCACTATACACACATGGATTTTGTGTTATAGATATGTGGTAGTGGAGTAGAGGCCTGAGGGCACACACTTAATATGTTGTGAAATCTGTTATGAATGTATTGTAATGTTTTTAAAATGTATAACTGCCTTAATTTTGCTGGACCCCAGGAAGAGTAGCTGCTGCCTTGGCACCAGCTAATGGGGATCCATAATAAATACAAATACGTGCTTTCTCTATAGCTTACGTAACCACTTCACCCATAGGCTGTCTATAGGTTGATGATGATGGAGTACAGTTAGACTTTAACCTTTTCCCATGTAGCTGCTTCATGCTGAATTCCAAATTGACCCCTGGCCCCTATCCTCTAGGCACTTTAGTAGATCTGAGTGGATTGGCTAGGTGTATCCAACATGGCAAGATGCTCTTCTAGCTTATCAACATGGCAAGATGGAAATATTACTATGATGCTCAGATCTAGAGTTTTTAAAGGGTATGGTTAAGGGGGAGATTTGGGATTCAGTATGAGGGTAACTGTCTCTTCTTAGTGTGTTGTCATTGTGACCTCTCCACCTCTCCTCTTTCCCTCTCCACCCACCCAGGGAGGCCATCAACAGACTGTGTGAAGCTGTGCCTGGGGGTAAGGGGGCCTGGAGGAAGAAGGTGGGGCGAAAATCTGTTGATGCAACACTAGTTAAATGTGTGTGTGTGATGCTAACCCAGGCTCTGTGCTCCTGTCCTGTAGAACATTAACAAGGCCCTGCAGTCCATCATGGGGAAGAGTAACCTGCGCTTCGCTGGTATGAGCATCGCTGTCAACATCTCTATAGAGGGGCTCAGCCTGCTCATCCCCACCACACGACAGGTTAGGGATCCACTCTCTTCAACTAACCACAGAACATAGCACAGGATATCACACTCAGGGCCATCAGTTGGGTATGGCAGTCGCCATATTGAAACAACGTCATGGGAATGGTGAGCGTCCGTGCGCCTACTTTACTCATGGACTTTTTAACAAGACTCTGATCAAGAACTTAATAAATTAAAAGTGAAAACTACCAATTTGAGATGGAAAAACAACAAAATACACACAATCATCTCACAGTTTTTTACAATCACTTTGGCACTCATTTCAGAACCTTGACATCATTTTTCAAAACTCTAGACACAAAACGGTCATCACTTGTAACACAGGCTGTCCAATGTTCAAAACATTGCATTGTGCATTCATATCTTTAAAGAAATCTTGCACTTGCACAATCATTGGTTCAAAAAACTAATGTATTGTGAAATACCAATGAAACGTTAATTTAGATCACCCACACACAAGCAACCGATAGTTTCACTGTGTCATTGTTCGTACAATCATTAAATATTGTAGTACAAAATAGGTGATACATGTTTCATTATGGTACTACATGTAAATACATCCCTGTAAAAGTACTGCAGTAGTAGAGAGAATACTACAGACACAGTGGAATCATTGAACAAAATCTGAAATATATTGATGAAAAACAATACAGTACTGTAAAACATCAAATGCAGTGTTCCTCAACTTGCTTGCTTGTACTGTAAAAAGCAAAACATAGGAGTGATTACTGTACTTCTACATTTTCATAAACTCTGTCTTGTGGATTTGGCCACAGGTTCTCATCTACATCACAATGGATGTTTTCATTAGCCAAACATCTTGGAAAACACTTTCGGGCATGGCGAATCCAGGCCTGACACTGGTCTGCCGTGATGTCATTGCATGCGTCATTCATGGCCTGGAGAAGAGTGACTTGTTCATGAGGGTGCCTATCATAAACCTTCCATCTCCATGTGGAGAAAAATTCCTCAATCGGGTTAAGGAAAGGAGAGTATGGGGGTAAATACAGGGTGGTAAATTGTGCATGGGCCTGAAGCCATGCTTGCACCATATGAGCATGGTGGAACCTGACATTATCCCACACAATGACATAGGTCACGCCATCAGCTCTACAGACCTGATCGAGCTCATCAAGGAAGGTTACAAGGAGAGCTGCATTATATGATCCAATACGAGGTCTGCGTCCCACCACACCATCTTCTGATATAGCCGTAGACATGGTAATGTTGGCCCCACGTTGTCCAGGTACTTGGATGGTTGCCCGCTGGCCAATGAAATTCCGACCTCTCCTCCTTGTCTTGGCCAGGTTAAAGCCTGCCTCATCCAAATATATGAATTTGTGATGGTTGTCATCAGCATCCAGCTCCATCACCCTATAAAAATACATTTTGGAAAGAGATTTACTGATTACTGTACAATGTAGAATTATTAGGGAATTTTATTACAACAGCCATCTTGAAACTGAACATACCTGAACATACTCAGTCCTCATTTGCTTCACTCTGTCTGCATTTCTTTCAAAAGGCACACGGTATAGTTGTTTTAAAGACACCTGGTGCCTTTTCAGCATGCGTGCAATAGTCGGCAAACTTATGGATTCCACATTGTTAAACATGTCTTCATTGTCCAAGATATGCTGGCGAATTTCTGTAAGGCGAATATCATTTCTGGCCCGAACCAAATCGACCACGGCCTGCTCTTGTTGGTCAGTCAGAATTTTGCATCTGCCTCCCCTATTTGGCCTACTCTCAATTCTACAGGGAACATTACAATAAGAAGACACTTGGTCACATCACCTACTCTGTGATACACATTGGTATGCAGTCATTTGACAGTTGAGAGTAGCATAATGTTTAGTGCATGCTGACGACTTACCGGTTCTCATTGCGGAAAGTTCTGATTATTGAGGCCACGGTTTACCTTCTGAGGTTTGGTTGTATCATTGTAGCCGCCTCAGTCATTGTCATGCCATGATTTATGACATGGTCTACAACTATTGCTCGGATTTCATTGAATAACATCAAAGCGGTGACCCGATCCTGCAGGTTCATGCTCTACAACATTCGCAGAGTACGACCCTACCTTACACAGAAAGCGGCACAGGTCCTAATCCAGGCACTTGTCATCTCCCGTCTGGATTACTGCAACTCGCTGTTGGCTGGGCTCCCTGCCTGTGCCATTAAACCCCTACAACTTATTCAGAACGCCGCAGCCCGTCTGGTGTTCGACCTTCCCAAGTTCTCTCATGTCACCCCGCTCCTCCGCACACTCCACTGGCTTCCAGTTGAGGCTCGCATCTACTACAAGACCATGGTGCTTGCCTACGGAGCTGTGAGGGGAACGGCACCTCCTTACCTTCAGGCTCTGATCAGACCCTACACCCAAACGAGGACACTACGTTCATCCACCTCTGGCCTGCTAGCTCCTCTACCTCTACAGAAGCACAGTTCCTGCTCAGCCCAGTCAAAGCTATTTGCTGCTCTGGCACCCCAATGGTGGAACAAGCTCCCCCACGACGCCAGGACAGCGGAGTCACTGACCACCTTCCGGAGACACTTGAAACCCTACCTCTTTAAGGAATACCTGGAATAGTATAAAGCAATCCTTCCACCCCCCCTCCCCCACCCCCCCATAAAAAAATAAAAGTGGTTGTCCCACTTGCTATCATAAGTTGAATGCACCAATTTGTAAGTCGCTCTGGATAAGAGCGTCTGCTAAATGATGTAAATGTAAATTACACTCTTTGCTGTTGCTGCTGCTGTCTTGGTCCGTGGCCTTGTCCTCTACCACGTTCCCCCACACCTCTCAAACGAGGCCCACGACCACCTCTCAGAAGGGGTGCTTGTCCCCTGCCATTCCTTTGACCAACACGTCTTCCTCGTCTTCCTCCCACCACTGCTTGACCTCTATTGTGACCTGGATCACCTGCCGGCTCCATGTTACAGTACGTATCGCTATGTTGTTGCAAGTGGATCCCAATCAATTCTTTATATACTCGTTCCACAATGTGAACTCAATCATCAGTAACGAGTTGGCAGAATTGGACAAGCAATTACAAGGGCCTGCATCCATACAGTGCAGGACTGTCAATACTGTAAATAGTCTGAAAAGGTGGTACATGGGACCATAGAAACGGTGTCTGATAAAGAATGATGATGAAATATTACATCCATAGATAATGTAGTCTAATTGGTTCATGCTCCACACTAATTGATGACAATTAATCTCGTTATCTTGAAACTTTCATGATCTAAACATGGAATATTTTTTGTCTGTTTACATACAACTATGCATTAAGAGTAATGCAACAGTTACTTATCATTTTGAGCAGTTGTATCAATTGATAGTTGGATAATTGTAATGAAATGAATAGACACTCATCTGAAATGTAATGTGTGAATTGCCTTTTGAAATAGTAGTACTTTGATGTTAAGTTGTGTCATATTGAACAGGTGATTTTTGTTAAATGAACAAATGATCTTAGTTTTATGTGTATTGTATCCAAGCAATTGAAAAAAGTGTTAGCATTTGCATTTTGATCATTGGTTGTGAGTTTTGTGTCTAGAGTTTTGAAAAATGACGTCAAGGTTCTGAAATTAGTGCCAAAGTGATTGTAAAAAACTGTAACAAGCCTGTATAGTCCGGTCAAAAATCCACTTGCATACGTTTCTGAGCTTATTCAGCTGTAGGCTACATTACAGTGATTTTCACATGGGCAGTGGCATCGGATCTACTTTTACCCGACATTAGTAAGCTAGCTAAATGCATGGTGTCCACAATAACAAAATAGGTAGCTAGCATCGAATAAGCCTGAATAGTCCAGTTGTCACGCTCTGGCTCCGGGACTGTGTATTGTGAGCCAGGGTGTGTTCATTTTGGTTGTGTTTCCTTGTTTGGTCGTGTGACTCCCAATCAGTGGTAACGAGTGTCAGCTGTCGGCTCGTTATCTCTGATTGGGAGCCATATTTAAACTGTCAGTGTTCACCTTAGTGTTGTGGGTTTTTGTTCCTTTACGGTCATTGTAACTGTGGACTTCATGAATCGTTTATTGTTTTGCACTTTAGTATAATAAAGTCATCATGTTCGCTCAACACGCTGCGTATTGGTCTGCTCCTTTGGAAGACGATCGTGACAGAAAAACCCACCTTAACCAGATCAAGCAGCATGAAGAAGAGAGAGGATGGACTTGGGAGCAGTTGAGTAGGAGTCTCGACTGGGCCAAGCCAAGAGAAGAGGAGAGAGGTTGGACTTTGGAGCAGTGGGGTGATAGTCTGGCGAGAACGATGGAGGCCTGGTCCACGAAGAGGAGAGAACCCCAGAATTTTTAGGGGGGGGCTCACGACGTCGGACCAGCAGGAGGCCGCGATAGAGCGGTCCAGTGGGTTGCCGGAGGAGGCCGTCGGGTTACGGGGGCCACTGGTCGAAGAGGGGATGGAGGAAGTAGAGGCACGGCGAGAGGTACTGGCGTGTGTTGCCAGTCCGGTCCGGCCCGTTCCAGATCCCGGTGTAGGGCCAGTGGTGTGTGTCCCCAGTACAGTCCGGCCCATCCAAGCTCCCCGCACCAAGCCAGTGGTGTGCGTCGTCAGCCCTGTCCGGCCCGTTCCTGCTCTCCGCGCCAAGTCTGTGGTGCGCGTCGCCAGCCCTGTCAGACCCGTGCCTGCTCTCCGCACCAAGTCTATGGTGCGTTTCGTCAGCCCTGTCCGGCCTGTTCCTGCCACTCGCACCAAACCAGGGGTGCGAGTCGCCAGCCTGGTCCAGCCCGTTCCTGCTACTCGCACCAAGCCAAGGGTGCGAGTCGTCAGCCGGATTCTGCCTGTTCCTGCCACTCGCACCAAGTCAAGGGTGCGAGTCGTCAGCCGGATTCAGCCCATTCCTGCTACTCGCACCAAGCCAAGGGTGCGAGTCGTCAGCCGGATTCAGCCCATTCCTGCTACTCGCACCAAGCCAAGGGTGCGAGTCGTCAGCCGGATTCAGCCCATTCCTGCTACTCGCACCAAGCCAGGGATGCGAGTCTTCAGCCTGGTGCGGCCTGTTCCGGCTCCACGCACCATGCAAAGGGTGCGTATCGTCTGCCAGGTCCGGTCCATTCCTGCCTCACGCGCCAAGCCAGGGGTGCGCGTCGGCAGTCCTGATCCAGCTAACTGGGTCAGATCGGACTGGGGGCACTACGGGGGGATTGTAGTAGGGTGGTGGTCAAGCCCGGAGCCGGAGCCGCCTCCGAGGAGCAATACCCACCCAGCCCTTCCCTATTTGGGGTGTAGGCGCGGTCGGAGTCCGCGCCTTTAGGGGGGGGTACTGTCACGCTCTGGCTCCGGGACTGTGTATTGTGAGCCAGGGTGTGTTCATTTTGGTTGTGTTTCCTTGTTTGGTCGTGTGACTCCCAATCAGTGGTAACGAGTGTCAGCTGTCGGCTCGTTATCTCTGATTGGGAGCCATATTTAAACTGTCAGTGTTCACCTTAGTGTTGTGGGTTTTTGTTCCTTTACGGTCATTGTAACTGTGGACTTCATGAATCGTTTATTGTTTTGCACTTTAGTATAATAAAGTCATCATGTTCGCTCAACACGCTGCGTATTGGTCTGCTCCTTTGGAAGACGATCGTGACACCAGTCAAAAACCCACTTGCACATGTTTTTGTGTTCATTCAGCGAGTAAGGTCTAGCTGTGTTAAACATTACAAGTAGTTTTGACATGGGCATCGGATCATACTGTGTTAGCCAAAGTTTCTTTTAGTCAGAATTCGTCTTATTTTCATATATTTGTATTGTTTTCAAAATGAAAGCATTCTCATTGAGGCTACTAACATGCATTGTAATCTGGGCAGCATGTCAGACGAACCATTCAAGTGATGTCATTGATGACACGTTATCAAGATGGCGGCACATAGTAGTCAGATGAGGGGGGGGCCGATCACACCTTAAAATCACACACTTGGCATTGGCTAGCTCACAGCACAGTAGCCCAACACAAAACAATAAATTGCAATCTTTTTAGCATCCTGTTTTCCTAATAGGATAGCAGATTAGTAGATTATATGATATTGATGTGGTGAAGGACTCATATAAAGTCTGCACCTTCCTCTCTTTCTCTCTCTCTTCTCACCTCTCACAGGTGATAGCACATCATCCCATGCAGTCCATCTCCTTTGCCTCTGGGGGAGACACGGTGAGAGTTTGCAGCATAAGTGCACTTTAGGCTTTCCCTGTTTTCCTCTGTCTGTTTGTTGAAATGGGCCGCTTGGCAGACTGCAGGTCTGACTTGGTTGCTTTTGACCGTTTTCCAATCCCGTGACTTCACCATCTTATTCAATTATATCCTAATTCATCTGAGCTGATTGAGGTTTTTCCCTCTGTTGCAGGATACGCCCCATTATGTTGCTTATGTGGCCAAAGATCCAGTCAATCAGAGAGGTCTCTTCAGTTTACCAATCTACTTCATAAACAGAAATAATATGTTTATTATACAGCCATGCAGTTTATTCCTGGCATTAAACACATGAGGGTTTACTGACAATATGGTTCACTAACAGTTGTTTAAGTTAAAGATATTGATTTTTCTATCTATTCTTTAAAATATAATTTGTTATGCTCACAGTGGCGTTGTAGCACTCACATCCTCTGTGTTCTCTTCAGCATGCCATATCCTGGAGTGTTGTGATGGTCTAGCCCAGAATGTCATCAGTACCATCGGCCAGGCCTTTGAACTGCAGTTTAAACAGTACCTCCACAGCCCTCCCAAAGCCATCCCCACCATGGAGAGGTGAGACCAATGATTTATATATACACTAGATCAAGCTTGATGATGAGTTGGTTATTTGAATCAGCTGTGTAGTGCTGGGGTTTAAAAAAAACGTTACGGGGGGCCAGGACCGAGTTTGGGAAACCCTGCACTAGATGACTGATAGGGGGCGCTGTGTTGAAGCCACCGTGCCTCCATCTTGGCACTTTCTCACCATTGTAAAAAATATTTTGGAAGCTATAGAAATGCATTTCTACATTCGTTTTTGGCACATTTATTATAGTATAGACACCTTAGTGCATACTTTTAAATTATATTATGTGAGTTAAACATAATTTAAAAATAATAATAATAATAATTAAAAACATAAAACAATATGTTACTTTTTGGGCGACCTGACCAAATTCACATAGTGAGTTATAGATCTGTCATTCTCATTGAAAGCAAGTCTAAGAAGTGGTAGATATGTTCTAAGTGCACTATTTCTATGCTTCCCCTTCTTATGTTTTTTTGTTATGTTTTTTACTTTCGGTTTTGTACACCAGCTTCAAACAGCTGAAAATACAATATGTATGGCTATGGAATGGATATTTCACAGTGTTTAGATGGTACAATGATTCTCTACTTCCTTGTTTTGTCACATAAACTGAAGTTAGGCGAACAATTAGAATTTTAGCAACCAGGAAATGGCGGAGCGATTTCTGCATAGTGCGCCTTTAAAGTATACTTTTTTGAGATGACTAATGTTACTGTCCCCACTACAACAAAAAAATACTTAAATACACACTATGTGGTTAGCACACATTGGTACAGTGCAAGCATGGTGTCCTATTTAAAGTGTTGACTTGCATTTTCCACTGACACTCAACTTGATATGAAACTCATCCTTTTTCTCTCGGTCACGTGTTAGAAATGTGATATGCTGCACTCAGATTTCAGCCCATCGTCCTGTTTTGACCCCAATTAAATCAAAACTGTTATTTAAAGTGGAGTGTGTTTCCCTGTGTCACCGGGTAGACAGAAGAACTCTACTGTACCTGCTCTGGTTTCAAATGTATCTCCTGCTACCAACAATAGAACCATTCAAACCTAGCATTTTATGTTATCGGCTGTGGAGGATGTGTCTGATCCCTTTTCTTTGTCACATTTGGGAATTCAATTACCTCTATTCTAACCGTGTCACCTCAGGAACATCAGGACAGAGGACTCAGCGTGGGGTGATGACGAGGACTCCTCAGAGCATGACTACTACAACAGCATCCCAGGGAAGGAGCCTCCTGTTGGAGGAGTGGTGGACTCGAGGCTGAGGCCTTGTACGGCCTTGCTGGGCCACGTCCACAGCCAACCACAGAGCAAGGCAGTGCAGGTGATTCCCCAGCCTCCAGCATTACCTACGTAAACCCTTTGATCTAGTATATCTGGACACACGACTGATGACCTTGCCTGCATTTCCCCCATAATGTCTACCAATTTGTAAGTCGCTCTGGATAAGAGCGTCTGCTAAATGATGTAAATGTAAATGTATAAGAGAGAGCTGTGGGCTTACAGTGAACTCAATAACTGTAGATGTGCCTGCTATATAATTACAAGAGATAGACATCACAGGAGATAGAAACCAGGCCTCTGGGTTGCCTAATTGGTGAGAGGAAAGTCTTGCTCATACCCTGCAGCCTATACTGAGGATTCAAACATATGGTGTCTGTAGAAGTGTATTACATAGGCAAGAGAGGAACTATTTATTACCAGGTGGTCTGAAGAGTCATAAAGAAACACATGTCTACTATTAGTAATGCTAATGGGATTTTGGGGCATCTGATTTTAGATGGGTTCTCCGGCCAGGAGAGAGACATCGTCCTACCGCTCAGGTCAACTGTGCTACGAGCTTCACTGGGACACTGAGAACAATGGCAGCTCAGGTGAGACACCATGTGACCTGATATGGTACTGCAGGACACAATACTGCAAGTCATAGGCATTATAATGGTTGGGTAAATAATTTGTTTTCGGTCCCTTATCATTTCACGAAAGTATAATGGCGGCGAGCTTTACGCCACTCCAGCCGACGCTTGGCATTGCGCATGGTGATCTTAGGCTTGTGTGCGGCTGCTTGGCCATGGAAACCCATTTCATGAAGCTCCCGACGAACAGTTCTTGTGCTGACGTTTCTTCCAGAGACTGTTTGGAACTCGGTAGTGAGTGTTGCAACCGAGGACAGACGATTTTTACGCGCTACGTGCTTCAGCACTCGCGGTCCCGTTCTGTAAGCTTGTGTGGCCTACCATTTCGCGGCTGAGCCGTTGTTGCTCCTAGACATTTCCACTTCACAATAACAGCACTTACAGTTGAGCGGGGCAACTCTAGCAGGGCAGAAATTTGATGAACTGACATGTTGGAAAGGTGGTATCCTATGACGGTGCCAAGTTGAAAGTCACTGAGCTCTTCAGTAAGGCCATTCTACTGCCAATGTTTGTCTATGGAGATTGCATGGCTGTGTGCTCGATTTTATACACCTGTCAGCAACTGGTGTGGCTGAAATAGCCAAATCCACTAATTTGAAGGGGTGTCCACATACCTTTGGTCATGTAGTGTATTAGTAAACTGAGTTGTGATTGACAGGTCTGACATCAGATGGGTACCTGCGGGCAGACGGCCATGCCCCGGGAAGTAGGGACTATGAGGAGCACCTGTATGTGAACACCCAGAGTCTGGAGGTCCTGGAGCAGGGAGCAGAGGGCCACAAGGGGGCCAGGGGGCCAGACAGCCCCAAGAAAGACATCTTTGATATGAGTGAGTCTCATCAACAGCTAGCCATCCGCTGAACACAGCCACTGACACAATAGAGATACCATTATTATTCAAGATGTGGGAAGTATCTGGGAAAAAAGTTACAGGTTCCATGTGTGTGCCATGCATGTGTTCTCACTCTTCCTGGTTCTCTGCAGAACCCTTTGAGGATGCTCTAAAGATGCACGACGCCGGTGGTAACGGTGGGGTGTGTGTGTTGGAGGACCAGTGGCCCAGCCCGCCCCGGCGTCGTGCCCCTGTCGCCCCCACAGAGGAGCAGCTCCGGCGGGAGGCCTGGTACCACGGCCGTATGAGCCGCCGGGACGCTGAGAAACTGCTGGTCCGAGACGGGGACTTCCTGGTACGAGACAGTGCCACCAACCCAGGCCAGTACGTCCTGACGGGCATGCACTGTGGTCTGCCCAAACACCTGCTACTGGTCGACCCAGAGGGAGTGGTGAGTGATAATCGCTGAATGATAAACAATATTGAAGGGGGAAATCATGGTCTATGGGGCTGGAGAGTAAAACTAGTTTATTCAAATGGTGTGTCAGCCGCCTGAAATGTGAATTTGTTTATTTAGCTACAGTCAAGCATTAGCATTGATGAGCTAGTGCAAAACATGCTAAACAATAATAGTGGTAGCACCCCTCTTAGCAATTGCTCCAGAAAGCTGATATTTGTATTTTATTTACTTAGCTACAGCTTAGAATGAGCATTGTTGAGTGCAAAACAATGGTGGTGGTAGCATCCCTGTTAACGTGCATCAATAAGGGGGAGCGCTAAGTCTAGGTCTAAGAGGCTTCTAAACAGCTTCTACCCCCAAGCCATAAGACTCCTGAACATCTAATCAAATGGCTACCCAGACTATTTGCATTGCCCCCTGCTACTCTCTGTTTATGATCTATGCATAGTCACTTTAATAACTCTACCTACATGTACATATTATCTCAATTACCTCGACTAACCGGTGCCCCCGCATATTGACTCGGTACCGGTACCCCCTGTATATAGCCTCGCTATTGTTATTTTTACTGCTGCTCTTTAATTATTTGTTACTTCTATTTCGTATTATTTTGGGTGATTTATTTTGGTATTCTTTCTTAAAACTGCATTGTTGGTAAAGGGCTTGTAAGTAAGCATTTCACTGTAAGGTCTACACCTGTTGTATTCGGCGCATGTGACAAATAACATTTGATTTGATTTTTGATTTGAAGAAGTATCCCTTTAAAATCTTTGTGACCTACTAACATCTGTTAGCCCACTCCTCCCCGTCACTGCCAGGTACGAACCAAAGACATGCTGTTTGAGAGTATCAGTCACCTGATCAGCTACCACCTGAAGAACGAGCTGCCCATCGTGGCGGCTGAGAGCGAGCTGCACCTCAAACAGGTGGTCGGGAGGAAAGAGGGGACAGCGCTCTGGAATGGTAAGAGACAGAAATGACAGCCCAAAGTGATTGTGCTCAGCACTGCCTAGTTTGATTTGAATTACTGTTTTGTGATAACCTTTGCTTCAGTGTGGGAAGTTTATTGATACAATATAGTGTATTAATAAAGTTTATGTTCTAGATTTTAGTTTTCTACTGGTGTAGTTCTTTAATATGTGTTTGATTGATATCCTTTGAAAGTTTTCCAATTTTGCCTGTTTTACCAGGAGTCAGAGGTGTGTCCATATAAACCCCAGAGAGGAAGATTTTCACTTTGTCATATCCCCAGAATCAGCGCTTTCGCTGGGGTAGGAGGACACAGGCGACTCCCTCTGCACAGGACCAGGGGCATGGCTGCAGTACCTGGCTGCCTCCGACAGTGCCCACAAACTTTCCACCATCTCCATCTGAACTCTCAGCATGCAGTCATTAAGCTAACCGACGCCTCGGAACAGGAGGTAACAGCCCAGCCAATCACAAGGATGGAATGCGAGGTCACAGAGGGTCACAGTCACATACGGTAGTTGTTCCATAGGAAAGCATAATTTTTGAGTGCACCTCATACTGAGTCTCATACTGCTGATGTCATGCACAGTCCCAGAATGATTTGGGTTCCCTGTGTCTTTCAATGAACAAATGTGAACATTGTATATGATATGTGAGAAACTCCTGGCAGCAAAATATCACTAAATTGTTTTATCAGAATGCAGTTCTTTGCTCCTCAGACATTGGTATGCTTTAATGGACTTTTATAAACTGTTCATCTGCAGCAGTAGCACCTGCACCTTCATGATTTATTCATATGTAATCTCAGGACCTAATTCTGCAGGCTTTCAATATCTGATTGCATGAATTGAAATATGCTTCAGAGATACAGTACTAACCAGGCACCAACCTAGAAAAAGTGTCTGTCCCTCTGTCCCATCAATATCCACAGGAAGTCTACATAACACAACATTGGGAATATACAGTTGGCCAAAATAGGTAGAACTCTGAATATCAATGTGTTCAATAATAACCACATACTTGTCAAAGTGTTTGTATGGGACAGTCATAGCTCGTCAGTGAATACCTACCCAGGTTGTGTATATCATGCCTACTCTATGAAGTTATCACACTGGTCAGAGAGCCTGTGCTCTCAGAAGGCAGACTACATTACTACAAATGACTCGGTGTATCTATAATTAAGTCCTGTAAAATAGTTCAGTGCCTTAATACTTGGTGTTTCATATCTTTCCTCCCAAATCACTTGTACATTATCATACATTCTACATCTACCACAGCAGAAGACAGTAGTGTGTACTGTATGTATGTATACCCTGAGAGCAAATGGCACATTTTCTTGCCATGCCAAACCACACTTTAATCAATGATTGGAGTGGACTGAAAGTCAAATCATCCCTTTTTATTGTGAAACTTTCTATGAGCTGCTGATGTATGGGAAGGGGGTGTACAAACTGAACATCCCATAGTGTGTTCTGATTGGCTGTCCTCTTTTGTGTGCTTCCTATTCTATTGTACCAGTCCTCCAATCAATAATCTGGCATAGGCCCTAACTGATTTGATCACCATCCTGTGTTGTTAATGGCAACATGTTTTATCAATAGATAGGGGATCTCCGGGGCTCTGCTGTGTCTTTTGTCTCAGTCCAGACACAGGGAGAGAGAGAGGACATGGCTTTCTGTGACGTTAGTATACTTTACAGTATGCAACTTTTCCAAATGACCCCTTTGCTTTCTCAGGACTTTCTTGTATCTACTCTTCTTTGAACTAAATGCATTTTTGTCAATAAAATTTGTCAAATTAAGGTTATTCAAATGTGTGTGGTTTGCGTTGGATCCAATCCACATCACTCCCTCTGTCTGGATTGATTAGGAATGGAGGCTAATGTTGGATGACGTGTCAAAGTGAGATGTACATATAGCATGGAGCTGCTCCATGAAAAGCCCAGCTGTCAGGCATTATGGGAGCACATGGCAGCCCCCAATGAAGACCGGTCATTTCCATTTAAAGGACCCGTTATCACCAACGTGAATTTCCGAGGAGTATGTCAAATTGGGTGTCAAATGAAAGCTAAGAGTCTATATGTGTGAGAAATTAAGGCATATACAGTGGGGGAAAAAAGTATTTAGTCAGCCACCTATTGTGCAAGTTCTCCCACTTAAAAAGATGAGAGAGGCCTGTAATATTCATCATAGGTACACGTCAACTATGACAGACAAAATTAGATTTTTTTTCTCCAGAAAATCACATTGTAGGATTTTTAATGAATTTATTTGCAAATTATGGTGGAAAATAAGTATTTGGTCAATAACAAAAGTTTCTCAATACTTTGTTATATACCCTTTGTTGGCAATGACACAGGTCAAAAGTCTTCACAAGATTTTCACACACTGTTGCTGGTATTTTGGCCCATTCCTCCATGCAGATCTCCTCTAGAGCAGTGATGTTTTGGGGCTGTCGCTGGGCAACACAGACTTTCAACTCCCTCCAAAGATTTTCTATGGGGTTGAGATCTGGAGACTGGCTAGGCCACTCCAGGACCTTGAAATGCTTCTTACGAAGCCACTCCTTCGTTGCCCGGGCGGTGTGTTTGGGATCATTGTCATGCTGAAAGACCCAGCCACGTTTCATCTTCAATGCCCTTGCTGATGGAAGGAGGTTTTCACTCAAAATCTCACGATACATGGCCCCATTCATTCTTTCCTTTACACGGATCAGTCGTCCTGGTCCCTTTGCAGAAAAACAGCCCCAAAGCATGATGTTTCCACCCCCATGCTTCACAGTAGGTATGGTGTTCTTTGGATGAAACTCAGCATTCTTTGTCCTCCAAACACGACGAGTTGAGTTTTTACCATCTGACCATATGACATTCTCCCAATCCTCTTCTGGATCATCCAAATGCACTCTAGCAAACTTCAGACGGGCCTGGACATGTACTGGCTTAAGCAGGGGGACACGTCTGGCACTGCAGGATTTGAGTCCCTGGCGGCGTAGTGTGTTACTGATGGTAGGCTTTGTTACTTTGGTCCCAGCTCTCTGCAGGTCATTCACTAGGTCCCCCCGTGTGGATCTGGGATTTTTGCTCACCGTTCTTGTGATCATTTTGACCCCACGGGGTGAGATCTTGCGTGGAGCCCCAGATCGAGGGAGATTATCAGTGGTCTTGTATGTCTTCCATTTCCTAATAATTGCTCCCACAGTTGATTTCTTCAAACCAAGCTGCTTACCTATTGCAGATTCAGTCTTCCCAGCCTGGTGCAGGTCTACAATTTTGTTTCTGGTGTCCTTTGACAGCTCTTTGGTCTTGGCCATAGTGGAGTTTGGAGTGTGACTGTTTGAGGTTGTGGACAGGTGTCTTTTATACTGATAACAAGTTCAAACAGGTGCCATTAATACAGGTAACGAGTGGAGGACAGAGGAGCCTCTTAAAGAAGAAGTTACAGGTCTGTGAGAGCCAGAAATCTTGCTTCGTTTGTAGGTGACCAAATACTTATTTTCCACCATAATTTGCAAATAAATTCATTAAAAATCCTACAATGTGATTTTCTGGATTTTCTTTTCTCAATTTGTCTGTCATAGTTGACATAGCATACTTTTTTTCCCCACTGTATACATTTTTCCAACATATCCCAGCCTAAAAATTAGGAATAAGCAAAGGCTTTGATTTCTGGTCAAGCAGATGGAAAAGGGGTCTTAGAAAACATCTACCATAAAAAGTCTTAAAACGTACATTATCATTGTGTACCTGTTTAGGATATATAAACATGAAGAGAATGACTCATATCCATAATTATGCATTTCTGTGTAGTACAGATCAGGTAACCATGATGAAATATCATTACAGCAATTATGTTACCGGGTGTAAATCCTCTTCACTTAATGTAGTTCAATAACCAAAAGTTCAACAACTAAACAAGGAGGTAGAGGCAGGAGTTTGGTTTCTTTCTATATCTTTACTGTAAGAATATCATACAAAATAACATAATAATAATATGCCATTTAGCAGACGCTTTTATCCAAAGCGACTTACAGTCATGCGTGCATACATTTTTACGTATGGGTGGTCCCGGGGATCGAACCCACTACCTTGGCGTTACAAGCGCCGTGCTCTACCAGCTGAGCTACAGAGGACCACGAACAGCAGTAATACAATCAGTAGGCTCAAGAGACGAGATACATTCTTGTTATTCAACAGACCAGCCCAGCCCAGCACAGCCCAGCCCAGAGGACAAGGAACCTAACCCATCCCTTAAGATCTGGAAGAAGTGCCTAGGGGTAGGTTGCCTGATGACTCATACTGAATGTAATTCAGCTGCTCTATCTATTGCTACATACATTCAGTCTGAGACTGCCATTGTAGAAGTTGTTTCTGCTAACGTCAAAGTGAGGGGCGTTGTACAAAACAAGTCATCAGCGATGTAATAGTCTGTAACCAATCAGAGTATCAAAGCCAATGACTATTTCCGTAACGCCGCTTTACCCACGTGTGTTCAGGCTCTGGCCCAACCCATCGGTTTCTGGGACCAATCAGAACGGTTTGAATGTGTTCGCATTCGAAAAGCCGTCAGGGAAGAGATCAAATCCAGACTCATCGTGGAGAAGAAATGTTAGTGGGCGTGGTGTTTGGCCGGAGCGATGTGGATGGATAGCCAGGCCTAGGGGTCGATTTAGAATAAAGGACAGTGTCGCTCAATTTGACTTCTACCATTTGTGTCTCAGTCTCACCTTGCAGTCCTTCTCCTTGACGAGGCCCTGGGAGTCCTGGATGTCTTTGTGGAGCTCCTGGACGTGGCTGGACTGGGCCTGCAGGTCAGCCAGTTGCTGCTGCATCGTGGCCAGCTGAGCCTCGGCCACATGACGCTCACTCTTATTAAACAGAGCCTCACGCTGCACCTGGAACACCTGTTGGGAGGGAGTTAGGGGAGAGGGGGGAGTGAGGAGAGATAAAGACGAGGGGAGGAGGGAGAGCACCTTGATGGCCATGAAACCAAAGGCGGCAAGGAGATATAGAACACACACATAAATAATGCTAGGAGAAAGGAAGCCCTGGTGCACACCAGTGCTTCCGCTATTGTGGCAACAACAGTCCAACGTGTAGTCAGTAGCATGTGGCTTGTGGTCAACCCCTGAGTTAACGTTTCAGTTGTTCAAATTCTTTGTATTTTGGTGAACAAGAACAAAAACAACACACACACACACCTCGGTGGCAAGTCTTCTCGTGTTTGCGTGTGAGGTTGTTGAATCGGGCGGTGAATGTGTTGATCTCGGCCTGCAGTGAGAGGCGCTGGGACTCATGGTCCTCCTTGGACACCAGGCCCTGTTCCACAGCCTTCTGGGACCTCAGGTCTCTCAGCTCTGTCTCCTTCACACTCAAAGCCTCCTTGGCCTCCGCCACACTTCTCTCACTGGCCTGCAGGGAGCGCTGCAGCTCCACCTGACACACAGCAAGGACAACAAATACAACATGAGGCAAGGAAGTACTACTTTCCTAGGACTCAGTGTTGCCATGTTTGCAGTTTTCCTGCCAAATTGGGCTACTTTGAAAACGATGTCACAGGTGAAAATGTATTAGTTGCAGATTTTTGGGGTATTTTTAAGTTGCACCGCGGCCGCCATGGCATTTCTCTTAAAAAATATATATTTCACTGTGACCTGCTGCTGACTGTCAGGCAGTGAAGGCAGGCTGTTGCTGAGTGAGTGACTGAGTCTATGCCTTCACTATGGTGAATCACTAAAACAATACAGAAATACACGATGGAAAAAGAAGGAACAGCACGTCAGAAATCAGCTCAATGTAATTGAAGAATCCATAGAATCTAACCACTTCTGAGAAAATTGGAACACATCTAACAAACAACAACACGAAGAGTTATCGATCCAAAACGGAGATGTGTGGATAAACCACTTCTCCAATCTTTTTGGCTCTATAACAAAGAACAAACAGCAAAAACATATACATTATCAATTACAAATCTTAGAATCAGCTATTAAAGACTACCAGAATCCACTGGATTCTCCAATTACATTGAATGAACTACAGGACAAAATACAAACCCTCCAACCCAAAAAGGCCTGTGGTGTTGATGGTATCCTACATGAAATAATAAAATATACAGACCACAAATTCCAATTGGCTATACTTAAACTCTTTAATATCATCCTCAGCTCTGGCATCTTCCCCAATATTGGGAAGCAAGGACTAATAACCCCAATCCACAAAAGTGGAGACAAATTTGATCCCAATAACTATTGTGGGATATGCGTCAACAGCAACCTTGGGAAGATCCTCTGCATTATCATTAACAGCAAACTTGTACATTTCCTCAGTGAAATCAACTGTGGGAGCAATTATTAGCAAATGGAAGACATACAAGACCACTGATAATCTCCCTCGATCTGGGGCTCCACACAAGATCTCACCCCGTGGGGTCATAATGATCACAAGAACGGTGAGCAAAAATCCCAGAACCACACGGGGGGACCTAGTAAATGACCTGCAGAGAGCTGGGACCAAAGTAACAAAGCCTACCATCAGTAACACACTACGCCACCAGGGACTCAAATCCTGCAGTGACAGACGTGTCCCCCTGCTTAAGCCAGTACATGTCCAGGCCCATCTGAAGTTTGCTAGAGTGCATTTGGATGATCCAGAAGAGGATTGGGAGAATGTCATATGGTCAGATGAAACCAAAATAGAACTTTTTGGTAAAAACTCAACTCGTCGTGTTTGGAGGACAAAGAATGCTGAGTTGCATCCAAAGAACACCATACCTACTGTGAAGTATGGGGGTGGAAACATCATGCTTTGGGGCTGTTTTTCTGCAAAGGGACCAGGATGACTGATCCGTGTAAAGGAAAGAATGAATGGGGCCATGTATCGTGAGATTTTGAGTGAAAACCTCCTTCCATCAGCAAGGGCATTGAAGATGAAACGTGGCTGGGTCTTTCAGCATGACAATGATCCCAAACACACCGCCCGGGCAACGAAGGAGTGGCTTCGTAATAATCATTTCAATGTCCTGGAGTGGCCTAGCCAGTCTCCAGATCTCAACCCCATAGAAAATCTTTGGAGGGAGTTGAAAGTCTGTGTTGCCCAGCGACAGCCCCAAAACATCACTGCTCTAGAGGAGATCTGCATGGAGGAATGGGCCAAAATACCAGCAACAGTGTGTGAAAACCTTGTGAAGACTTACAGAAAACGTTTGACCTGTGTCATTGCCAACAAAGTGTATACAACAAAGTATTGAGAAACTTTTGTTATTGACCAAATACTTATTTTCCACCATAATTTGCAAATATATTCATAAAAAATCCTACAATGTGATTTTCAGGAAAAAAAATTCTCATTTTGTCTGTCATAGTTAACGTGTACCTATGATGAAAATTACAGGCCTCTCTCATCTTTTTAAGTGGGAGAACTTGCACAATTGGTGGCTGACTAAATACTTTTTTCCCCCACTGTATATATCAACGAATTGGCAAGGGCACTAGAACAGTCTGCAGCACCCGGCCTCACCCTACTAGACTCTGAAGTCAAATGTCTACTGTTTGCTGATGATCTGGTGCTTCTGTCACCAACCAAGGACGGTCTACAGCAGCACCTAGATCTTCTGCACAGATTCTGTCAGACCTGGGCCCTGACAGTAAATCTCAGTAAGACAAAAATAATGGTGTTCCAAAAAAGGTCCAGTTGCCAGGACCACAAATACAAATTCCATCTAGACACTGTTGCCCTAGAGCACACAAAAAACTATACATACCTCGGCCTAAACATCAGCGCCACAGGTAACTTCCACAAAGCTGTGAACGATCTGAGAGACAAGGCAAGAAGGGCCTTCTATGCCATCAAAAGGAACATAAAATTTGACATACCAATTAGGATCTGGCTAAAAATACTTGAATCAGTTATAGAACCCATTGCCCTTTATGGTTGTGAGGTCTGGGGTCTGCTCACCAACCAATAATTTAGAAAAAGGGACAAACACCTAATTGAGACTCTGCATGCAGAATTCTGCAAAAATATCCTCTGTGTACAACGTAAAACACAAAATAATGCATGCAGAGCAGAATTAGGCCGATACCAGCTAATTATCCAAATCCAGAAAAGAGACGTTAAATTCTACAACCACCTAAAAGGAAGCGATTCCCAAACCTTCCATAACAAAGCCATCATCTACAGAGAGATTAACCTGGAGAAGAGTCCCCTAAGCAAGCTGGTCCTGGGGCTCTGTTCACAAACACAAACAGACCCCACATAGCCCCAGGACAGCAACACTATTGAGAAAGGCTCAAGAGAAGACAGGCTATGTGCACACTGCCCACAAAATGAGGTGGAAACTGAGCTGCACTTCCTAATCTCCTGCCAAATGACCATATTAGAGACACATATTTCCCTCAGATTACATAGACCCACAAAGAATTGGAAAACAAATCCAATTTTGATCAACTCCCATATCTATTGGATGAAATACCACAGTGTGCAATCACAGCTGCAAGATTTGTGACCTGTTGCCACAAGAAAAGGGCAACCAGTGAAGAACAAACACCATTGTAAATACAACCCATATTTATGTTTATTTATTTTCCCTTTTGTACTTTAACTATTTGCACATTGTTACAACTCTGAATATAGACATAATATGACATTTGAAATGTCTCTATTATTATGGAACTTGTGTGAGTGTAATATTTACTGTTCACTTTTTATTGTTTATGTCACTTTTGTTTATCCATTTCACTTGCTTTGGCAATGTAAACATATGTTTCCCATGCCAATAAAGCCCTTAAATTGAATTGAGTGGTGGGGCGGACCGGAGGAGTGGGTGTGTGTTGAGAGAGCACTACAGCTATTGGCTGAGTCACGTAAGCGGGAGGAGAGAGAGCAGCATGTGCGCACGTTGTGACACCTTTTTGCCAGTTGTAGGTAGGCTATTTAGATTGTTATTAAGAAGATACCTACTCTAGACTATATTGAATTGAGATGTAGGCCTATCAGAGGCTATAGGCTACCTGCCTTTATCTAAGCAAAGTATGGCAAAATTTAATAATAAACCCAGATTTTAGTCTGTAGCCTATGCCTGGCCAGCTGCTCACACTGCAGACCCAGGGTCACCTGCACCTCCTCCAGCTCTGAACAGGGAACACACTCCCTCAGCTCCCTCTCCAGCTCCCCCACACGGCCCTGCAGCCTACGCACCATCTCTTCGTCTGGCTTTACCACTCCCTCTCTCTCCCCCCACTCTCCCCGACTCCTTGCTCTCCGCCAGGGTGGCCTCCAGTTCGCTCACCCTCTCACTCTCCCCTCCTCCGTCCTCCTTTTCTCCCTCTTTTTCTGTCCCTTTCTCTTCCAGGGCTGCCTGTAGTTCCTCAACTTTCTTTCTCAGCTGTTTGACTGTGTCATTGTCCTCTGCACTCTCCCCCTCTCCCTCTCCCTCTCCCTCTCCCTCCCCCTCTCCCTCCCTCTGTCCCGCTCCTTGTCCCTCTCTCTCTTTCAGCGCCGCCTCCAGCTCCCTCACCCTCTCTCTCAGCTGCTGCGTCTCCTGGCTCGCCACCTTGCCGCTGCCCCTGGGGATCTCTGTCTCACCCCCCGTGCCCCCTGCCTGTTCCACAGAGTAGACCCCCAGGTGCATCTGTTCTCTCAGCTCCTCCAGCTCAGACTGGGAGTGGGCCAGCTGCTCCTCCAGCCCACACATCCTTTCCCTCAGCTCCTTACTGCTTTCATCCTCCGCCCCCTCTGTCCCCTCCTTCCCCTCTGTCCCCTCCTTCCCCTCTGTCCCCTCCTTCCCCTCTGTCCCCTCCTTCCCCTCTGTCCCCTCCTTCCCCTCCGTCCCCTCCTTCCCCTTTGTCCCCTCCTTTTCCTCTGTCCCCTCCTTTTCCTCTGTCCCCTCCTTCCCCTCTGTCCCCTCCTTCCCCTCTGTCCCCTCCTTCCCCTCTGTCCCCTCCTTCCCCTCTGTCCCCTCCTTCCCCTCTGTCCCCTCTGTCCCCTCCTTCCCCTCTGTCCCCTCCTTCCCCTCTGTCTCCTCCTTCCCCTCTGTCCCCTCCTTCCCCTCTGTCCCTTTCTCCCCCTCTCCTCCTCACACCTGGAGGTGAAAAAAAAGAAACATCAGAACTGAAGTGAAGTGAGAGGCTTACTTATGGTTGGCATATTGTGTTAGAATCTTCAATTACAATACTGTGGCTGGCAGGGTTCAAATTACACATTGACTCTTAAATAGTGGGCTTAAAGACTCTAAACATAGGGCTGGACCAGTGTTAATAGGTTGAACCCTTATGGGGGTGTCCATGTTAATATATTACTGTAGTCCACACCAGGGCACCTCTACAAACAGAACTCTAACCTTAGTGGGTGGTGTAAATGTGACATTTTAGTCATTTAGCAGATGCTATTATCCAGAGGGTATATGGTGGTGCTGGTGGCTTGTGTAAGGTGGTGTGGGTGATGATCCTTACACCTCTCCCGCCATGCTGGAGGCCTCAGCTGAAGCCTGGGCCTGGGAGTAACGCTCCTGCAGAGCTTCAAACTCCCTCCTGATGGAGTCATACAGAGCCGTGGGGACAAAGTCTGGGCCGGATGTCTGCATGTCAGTGTCATCCTTCTCAAACATCTCCAGCATCTGAAAACCACCCAAAATCACAGTACAGAAATAATCAGTAAGGGTTTGCTTTCTTCTCTAGCAGTTGTGATGTGTATCTCATAGGTCGAGCATCCTATTTTTATGTCACAACTTTAAGTCCAGAACTGCTTCCTCTCCTCTTCCTTCATGACAGCTTCACAGTTAGCTTCTGTGCAGTACTACCACCCCTGTTGCCCCTCACACACAATCCCAGACAAACCCTCCAATGGTAGCCTGGCTATAACCAATGACTTACAGTGCATTCTGAAATAATTCAGACCCCTTGACTTTTTCCACATTTTGTTACATTACAGCCTTATTCTATAATGGATTAAATAGTTTTTTCCCTCTCATCAATCTACACACAATACCCCATAATGAAAAAGCAAAAACAGGTTTTTAGAATTTGTTGCAAAAATAAGTAAAATAAATACAACTGAAATATCACATTTACATAAGTATTCAGACCCTTTACTCAGTACTTTGTTGAAGCACCTTTGGCAGCGATTACAGCCTTGAGTCTTCTTGGGTATGATGCTACAAGCTTGGCACACCTGTATTTTGGGAGTTTCTCCCATTCTTCTCTGCAGATCCTCTCAGGCTCTGTCAAGTTGGATGGGGAGTGTCTCTGCACAGCTATTTTCAGGTCTCTCCAGAGATGTTCGATCGGGTTCAAGTCAGGGCTCTGGTTGGGCCACTCAAGGACATTCAGAGACTTGTCCCGAAGCCACTCCTGCGTTGTCTTGGCTGTGTGCTTAGGGTTGTTGTCATGTTGGAAGGTGAACCTTCGCCCCAGTCTGAGGTCCTGAGCACTCTGGAGCAGGTTTTCATCAAGGATCTCACTGTACTTTGCTCCGTTCATCTTTCCCTCGATCCTGACTAGTCTCTCAGTCCCTGCCGCTGAAAAACATCCCCACAGCATGATGCTGCCACCACCATGCTTCACTGTAGGGATGGTGCCAGGTTTCCTCCAGACGTGATGTAGTGCAAATAGTCCGGGTAGCCATGATTAGCTGTTCAGGAGTCTTATGGCTTGGGGGTAGAAGCTGTTGAGAAGTCTTATGGACCTAGACTTGGCACTCTGGTACCGCTTGCCGTGCGGTAGCAGAGAGAACAGTCTATGACTAGGGTGGCTGGAGTCTTTGACAATTTTGAGGGCCTACCTCTGACACCACCTGGTATAGAGGTCCTGGATGGCAGGAAGCTTGGCCCCAGTGATATATACAGTACACTAGATGGCTGATAGGAGGCGCTGTGTTGAAGCCAACGTGCCTCCATCTTGGCACGCTCTCACCATTGTAAAAAATATTTAGGAAGCTATAGAAATGATTTTTTTAAATGTCTACATTCATTTTGCCACATTTATTCTTACCGATCACTGCACCTGTACACAGCCCATCTGAAAATAGCCCACCCAACTACCTCATCCCCATATTGTTATTTATTTTGCTCATTTGCACCCCAGTATCTCTATTTGCACATCATCTCTTGCACATCTATCATTCCAGTGTTAATACTAAATTGTAAATATTTTGCACTATGGCCTATTTATTTCCTTACCTCCATAACTTGCTACATTTGCACACACTGTATATATATTTTCTGTTGTATTTTGTGTATATGTAACTCTGTGGTTGTTTTTTTTTAATCGCACTGCTTTACTTTATCTTGGCCAGGTCGCAGTTGTAAATGAGAACTTGTTCTCAAATGGCCTACCTGGTTAAATAAAGGTGTAATAAAAAATAAATTTTGTTTATACAAATAATAATTTTAATTAAAACATTTTCCTTAAAGTATAACTAATGTTACTGTCCCTACTACAACAACAAAATACTTAAATACATGTAATTTTGACCTTGAAACATTTAATTGAAATACTGTAGAATTACATTAATTCCTATGGAGGGATGCTCCTACTGGGGAGTGCCAATATTTACATTTTACATTCTAGTCATTTAGCAGACGCTCTTATCCAGAGCGACTTACAGTTAGTGAGTGCATACATTTTTTCATACTGGCCCCCCGTGGGAATCGAACCCACAAGCCGACCAGTGGCTTCAATACATAGCATCAGCAATCCAGGGTTTATATACGCTGAACAAAAATATTAACGCATCATGTAATATGTTGGTCCCATGTTTCATGAGCTAAAATAAAATATCCCTGAAATGTTCTACACGCACAAAAAGCTTATTTCTCTCAAATATTGTGCACAAATTTGTTTACATCCCTGTTAGTGAGCATTTCTCCTTTGCCAAGATAATCCATCCACCTGACAGGTGTGGCATATCAAGAAGATGATTAAACAGCATGATCATTACACAGGTGCACCTTGTGCTGGGGACAATAAAATGCCACTGTAAAATGTGCTGTTTTGTCACAGAACACAATGCCACAGATGTCTCAAGTTTTGAGGGAGCGTGCAATTGGCATGCTGACTGCAGGAATGTCCACCAGAGCTGTTGCCAGAGAATTTAAAGTGGGTGGGCCTATGGCTGCGTCCCTGCCCAGTCATGTGAAATCCATAGATTAGGGCCTAATGAATTTATTTGAATTGACTGATTTCCTTATATGAACTGTAACTCAGTAAAATCGTTGAAATTGTTGCATGTTGCATTTCATTTTTGGTTTAGTATACATCATTGGCTGTAACCCTTTGTCCTAATTCTGTCTACTTGTACAGACCATGACCCAGTTAGTGAAGAATGCCTGCACCAAGTCTCTGTGTGATGCTAGTTTTCTATTTATACCTGGATACTGCTGCCTCATAGACCTATAAAGTGGTAATATGACAAACAGTCCAATCTGACACTGTTCAGCCAGCCTTGAACCAGTCCATCATCATCATCTGCTGACTGGGACTGCTCTGGTCTGGAGGACCTTTTAATAACCAGATGGCGTGTATGTGTGTGTGTGTGTGTGTGTGTGTGTGTGTTCTTACCTGCACTGTGAGGACCAGCTCCTGGTTCTGTGAGGTCAGCTCATCCACCTGTCTGTATAGCTCAGCCACAGTGTCTGGGTCTGCAGGACCAGGAGAGGTGGGGTTGGGTGAGTCTGCCTCCCCCTCGTCCAGAGCAAAGGGAGACTCTCTCGACCGCCTGGAGAGCAGCTTCTCAGCACCTTCAAGATAGACGGGGCTAAATCAATGTAATATTTTGTCTAACACATTGCAAAACCATGGCAGTAGAATTTGAGTGAAATTCATCATCTAGTTATGATGTATGACTCTCATTAGGGTTCTACATCCTAGTCCATCCATCCAACATTTGGTCCATTTAACAAATATACAGATGATGGATCCTAATTTGATCATCCTGTTCTTGCAGGAATTTTCCTGCACAGCAGGAAATGCAAGCTTGTAGTGTATTTTAGGTATAAAAAAAGGCTTCCAAAGTTTGTAATTTCCTCTTTAATATTTCAGACATGATTTGCCCTCACGAGAAATGTATCAATCCCTACAAAAAAATTCCATTAATTATATAATCCACATAATAATTCACATTTCCTGTTGCTGCAGGATTATTTTACTGCTGTGAGAAACTGGGTCAAATTAAGATACGGCATCTGTAACAATCTGCCAGCAGTATTTCCTCTCTCCCTCCACACACACCTGGGAAGTCCAGCATGTCATCATCTGGGTGGAGGAGGGGCTTTCCTCTTGCGGGGGGTGGTCCCCCCTGGCAGAGGAGGTGGAGGAGGGGGCTGCCGCTGGAGGCACAGACAAGCAGAAGGTACAGGGGAGCAATGGAAAGCAGGAGAGAAATAGCAGCAAAGCCAAGCAAAATGTTGTGAAATTAGCTTTTAATGCGTTTTCCTCGTGTGATGTTGCTCCAGCTGTTGTTCAAAATATGTTGTTGTAGACTGAAAATGGGATAAGAAGTTGGTGTTCCTTCTTATGTTGTACATTTTCTATTATGTACAATATAGAATTAGTGGTGTTATGTTTTCACATGTACTGAATGTGTAGTGAGTGAAAATGAAAAGCTGAGTGGTCAGTTGCCTCCTCGCCATTGCCCTCAGTGGCTACGTATGCATGGGGAGAGACAAATGGCAAATCCTTTTAACACATACACACTGTAGTTATAGCTAAGAAGCATACCATACTCCTATATATCGTAGCACGCAGTATAACACCAAACAACAGCCCTACTTTAAGCTGTAAGCTGTAAGATACGAGAGTCCTCATATATCACAGATACACCAGAGACATTTCAGGCACTGCTCTGCTTCCATTCATCTCCATTTCAAACGAAACCCACATCTGTTTTTCATAAATCACAGAGCCTTTGTTTGAAGATAAAAGTGCAGCAAGCTTCTCTGTTTCAGGCTTTTACAATTACCCCAGCTGTCCCCTTTACTTCATCCACTTCCTCACATTACAGCCATTTCCTGGGGGACCAGAGTAGGGCCATAGACCAGGCCATATCATTACAACTGATATAAAGGATAATGCACCATGGATTCTGATACAGTACACCAATAGCATACAAAGTTTTGTAGTAGTTGCCAATGCTAATTAATTGAACATTTGAAATGCTACACCAAATATGGCCTGTGGTATAACCAGCAGGGAATGTTGTCTGTTCTATCAATTATAATTCTATCCACCATTCTACCAGGGCCCAGAATGGAGCCCCAGACTGGGCCTAGAGGGTAGCAGAGCAAGGTTACGCTCAATTCCATTTCAAGTCAGTTCAGACAAGAAGTGGATTGAAGTTCTAACTCAACAAAAATCCCAATTTAAAAGGAATTGAGCCCAACCCTGCTTCAGTCGGCAGGTGAGACATCCAGAGGTTACCGTGGGTTACTTGGAGCCCCGTTCTGCAGCAGCTGTGCAATGCGCTGGTTGCCGGCAGTTGCGCCGTAGTGGGCTGCGTCGTGTCCAAGTGTGATTTCACTTAGTTTCGAGAAACTTACCCGACCAGTGATAGACTTCCTCATGCTCATTCTGCAGTTTCAGGGTCAGAGATCAAACCTGAACCTAGGCTCCAAAAACACACAAATACATCCTTTTAGAAATTGCAACACTCTCAGTATAGTGATGCAGGTCTTTAGATGTTGTACATAAGACATTTTCTAATTCCAAACTTTATCCGCATCGTTATATTCCATGTTGTTGGACTCGAGCGATACATTTCCGTGTACGTTCTTTCTCGTTTCCCATATCACCACAATGGGAACCAGGAAGCATGTGCGTGCTTGCCCACGGAAACGTATTGCTCTGTTTTTTGTAGCCTTTGTTCATGTTTCATCTCTGCCCCTGAAAAGCATGAGGAAGTCTATTGCTGGTGGGGTACGTTTCTCGAAACCAAGTGAAATCGCAAAAAAGGTGTCTGGACACCTAACATGCCATTTGCATCAAACATAGAGATTTGGTGAAAAAAAGTGAACTTGTCCTTTAAGTTGTGTTCACAATTTGTCTTGCATAAGTCAATCTAATGCAAAGCCTTGTTTTTTGTGTCTTGTTGAATTACCTGCCCTGGCTGTCCTGTATGTTGGGGTTGGCCCCTCGGTCCAACAGGAAAGCACACAGCTCCACTCTGCTCATCTGGGCTCCTAGGATCAGCGGGGTCACCCCATCCTGAGATAGACGAGACCACAATGGCTTAACATGGTTGATTGAATTGTGTTTTAGTGCTTGGCTGTAACAAAACCCTGCACACCCTGTAGTTCTCCAGGACCTGGCTTGGTGACTGTTGCTGTACAGAGTTTAAGCCTACGCCACTTACCCCATCCTGGGCATCCAGACGGGCCTTGAAGTCCCACAGAGTCTCAGTGCATGACAAGCAGCCGCTCACAGCTACAGGAAGACGGACAGACACCATAGGTAGACAAACGGAAGGTATAAAAAGGTTGAATTGTTTACAGTGTTACACGGATAGTGCTGTAATCAATTGCATTATAGCTAGGGTATTGCATACCTGCGTGATGCAAAGCTGTCTGACCAACGCTGTCTATGGAATCTATCATCTCTCCTGTGGGAGTATGAGACGTATTCACCAAAAATCTATGATAACGGCATACCTGATTTTCCATGTATTGTAGTAATGTTAACTATGTCTGTCTGCTGTACCTGTAATAGTCTCTTCAGGCAATCAGGCTGGCCGTTCTTGGCTGCTAGGTGAATGGCACTGAAGCCTTGAAGTTGATAAGGCCATCACAAAGCGAGAGAGGAAATTAATGAGTTAACAAAAACAAATTGCAAGAGAGCATGTTATAATTGAGATAATCAACTTTGAATATGTTGTTTTGACCAGTTATAGCCACAAAGCATTACCTTGGCGATCTGTGACACTAAACATGTTAACATGTTCACTGAATGAGACTGTCGTCTCACCTGAGCCATCTGTCACGTTAATGTCTGGCCCGTGAGCCAGGATGACCTCCAGACAGCACAGAGGTGGACCCTACCAGGAAGAGAATAACAACACTGGTAATGACAACAAAGAAAGTAGAAAGGATTTCAACTCTTTACCCTGTCTCACTGACAGTTTGAACATTAAGGGACGTTTCGTGGACACATTTAAACCTAGTCCTAGACTAACAAGCAAGTTCAATAACGATTCTCCATTGAAAGTACTTCTTAGTCCAAGACTAGGCTTAACCTGTGTCAGGGAAACTGACCCTAAGTGTTTGGTACTTACGCTGACTTCCCCTCTGCATCCAGTTTGGTGGGACAGAGTCCCTTCTTCACGATCAGAGCAGCTACTTTGTCAGGTTCGTTCTGCCTTACAGCCTCCAGTAGTCTCTCATCACTCTTACTCCAGTCCTGGCTCTGAGGGGACAGGGACAGACGGGTCACAACCCAGTCACAACCTGGGGCTCATCAGAGCTAACCAAATTACTGTACATACTGTACTATACAGAGTAGACCCAGACCCCCTATCTGATTACACACTGAGTGATGACTAACCATACACTAGGTCTAGATGAGACACTACTAAATCTAATACTGTATGTCTCATCGAAGTGAAACGATGACGGACATAAAGTACCAGCTGCTTGCTTCTATGGTACTTTACACACAGTACACAAAATCACATTTTAACTGGGTTTGCAAGAAAAAGTAACCCTTTGAGAGAAAGTACAATGAAAAGACAACTCAGGTCAAACAGAGAGGGATACCTACCACCAGTAAACTGAAACAACAACAGAAATAACAGTTCATCAGGCTCAGAGCTGACGATCCATAGAGCCATAGAGCTGTCCACTGTCTGACCAAAATACTGACACACAAACATACAGTACTCAACTACCCACAGGCCTCGAACACACCATCAGAGTTGCACACCAACTTAGCACTAAATGACAAAGCATAAATGTACAGTATAACCTCACAGACAACCGATAACCCACTTGCACAATCCAGAACAGAAGAAATGTATGACAGGAGAGTCGTGATGATGCTACATAAACATAAAGCCTGTACAAACAGAAGTACACTGCTCTAGCCCTCTGAGTCTCACAGCAACGTAGCTCTCCATATGCAGTGCTCTGCTCTCTCAGCCAAAACACATTCCCCTCTTCCTGCACTGCTGCTAAGGCTCTCAGGGACTTACATACTCAGTCTGCAGTCTCAACCTGGCACACACTGTCTCTCTCTCTCTCACACTCACTCACTCACTCACTCACTCACACACCACCTCCCTCTTTCTGTGCCCTTCTTATTTCGCTCTCCAGCCTAGTACTGTCTTCTCTTCCTCCTCTCACTCCTCTTACAGTCTGTCCATTTGTTTCAGTCAGCTCTCTCCCTCTCTGTGCTGTCCTGTTTGGGCTAGGCAGCACCTCTCTCTCTCTCTCTCTGGACCTACTGTATGTGCGTCAGGAGAAGATGAAGGCTCAGCAGAAAGAGGAGAACAGAGCTGGCTGGTACAGGGCTGGTACAGGGCTGGTACAGGGCTGGTAGTGCCAGGTTAGGGCAGAGAGGACACGCTGATAGAATAACAACATCCTGAATCAACTCGTCGGACCAGGATGCAGCCATTTACAGCATTCTAATTGATTTTCACAATATGTGTAAAAATATAATATATTATTTTATTAAACTGAGATAAGGCCATAACGTTTCTAGCTATATCATTTTCTGTTTGCATTACACACTGAGTGTACAAAACATTATGAACCCCTGCTCTTTCCATGACATAGACTGACCAGGTGAATCCAGGTGAAAGCTATGATCTCTTATTGATGTCACTTGTTAAATCCACTTTTATATGTTTTATTGTATTTTATTTATTTAACTAGGCAAGTTAGTTAAGAACAAATTCTTAATGTTTTGTACACTCAGTGTACATCGTTCTATCAAATGGTTAAGTTAGTAGAGAAGAGGACAGGGTATGCCAACATTAATAACCAGTAAAGTAGACTGGTTATATTCCCTGAAGTGTACTTATGTGTGGCTTGTGTGTGACCAACATTGTGAGACAAATTAAGATGGATGATAAGCTACACTCTTGCTATCTACAGTGGGGGAAAAAAGTATTTAGTCAGCCACCAATTGTGCAAGTTCTCCCACTTAAAAAGATGAGAGAGGCCCGTAATTTTCATCATAGGTACACGTCAACTATGACAAACAAATTGATGAAAAAAATTCCAGAAAATCACATTGTAGGATTTTTAATGAATTTATTTGCAAATTATGGTGGAAAATAAGTATTTGGTCACCTACAAACAAGCAAGATTTCTGGCTCTCACAGACATGTAACTTCTTCTTTAAGAGGCTCCTCTGACCTCCACTCGTTACCTGTATTAATGGCACCTGTTTGAACTTGTTATCAGTATAAAAGACACCTGTCCACAACCTCAAAACAGTCACACTCCAAACTCCACTATGGCCAAGACCAAAGAGCTGTCAAAGGACACCAGAAACAAAATTGTAGACCTGCACCAGGCTGGGAAGACTGAATCTGCAATAGGTAAGCAGCTTGGTTTGAAGAAATCAACTGTGGGAGCAATTATTAGGAAATGTAAGACATACAAGACCACTGATAATCTCCCTCGATCTGGGGCTCCACGCAAGATCTCACCCCGTGGGGTCAAAATGATCACAAGAACGGTGAGCAAAAATCCCAGAACCACACGGGGGGACCTAGTGAATGACCTGCAGAGAGCTGGGACCAAAGTAACAAAGCCTACCATCAGTAACACACTACGCTGCCAGGGACTCAAATCCTGCAGTGGCAGACGTGTCCCCCTGCTTAAGCCAGTACATGTCCAGGCCCATCTGAAGTTTGCTAGAGTGCATTTGGATGATCCAGAAGAGGATTGGGAGAATGTCATATGGTCAGATGAAACCAAAATATAACTTTTTGGTAAAAACTCAACTCGTCGTGTTTGGAGGACAAAGAATGCTGAGTTGCATCCAAAGAACACCATACCTACTGTGAAGCATGGGGGTGGAAACATCATGCTTTGGGGCTGTTTTTCTGCAAAGGGACCAGGACGACTGATCCGTGTAAAGGAAAGAATGAATGGGGCCATGTATCGTGAGATTTTGAGTGAAAACCTCCTTCCATCAGCAAGGGCATTGAAGATGAAACGTGGCTGGGTCTTTCAGCATGACAATGATCCCAAACACACCGCCCGGGCAACGAAGGAGTGGCTTCGTAAGAAGCATTTCAAGGTCCTGGAGTGGCCTAGCCAGTCTCCAGATCTCAACCCCATAGAAAATCTTTGGAGGGAGTTGAAAGTCTGTGTTGCCCAGCGACAGCCCCAAAACATCACTGCTCTAGAGGAGATCTGCATGGAGGAATGGGCCAAAATACCAGCAACAGTGTGTGAAAACCTTGTGAAGACTTACAGAAAACGTTTGACCTGTGTCATTGCCAACAAAGGGTATATAACAAAGTATTGAGAAACTTTTGTTATTGACCAAATACTTATTTTCCACCATAATTTGCAAATAAATTCATAAAAATCCTACAATGTGATTTTCTGGATTTTTTAAAATCATTTTGTCTGTCATAGTTGACGTGTACCTATGATGAAAATTACAGGCCTCTCATCTTTTTAAGTGGGAGAACTTGCACAATTGATGGCTGACTAAATAGTTTTTTTCCCCACTGTAAAACCGAAAAAGGTTATTCGGCTGTCCCCCATAGGAGAACCCTTTGAAGAACCCCTTTTGGTTCCAAGTAGAACCCTTTTGGGTCCAGGTAGAACACATTTGGATTCCATGTAGAACCCTTTCCACAGAGGGTTCTACATGGAACCCAAAATAGTTCTACCTGGAACCAAAAGGGGTTCTTCAATATGGTGTGTGATCCCCCTTCTCTCCCTTCTCTCCCTCCCCAAACCCCCCTCTCTATTAGAGCTAACTGTACTGTAACCTATAGCATAGCCACACACAGCTATCACAACCAGCTACCAGTTGCGTAGACATTTAAGACATTAGGATATACAACATTTATACAGAATTCTTGTCTTGGGATTGATTACTTTATATTCACCCTCACATGTCACATTAAAACCACCTGCATAATGGGATGGGGACGACAGCAGGAAATTAAGGATTATTGTGTGTGTGTGTGTGTGTGTATGGGCTGAATAATTAAAGGCTACCTGAGAGCTCTGGTTACAGCAGACTGGCCTGCTCCCCTGCTGCTCAGTGATACTGACACCCAGTTCACTACATCCAAAATACTTTGGGGAAAAAAAATATTTGTAAATCTGTAATGTCATAGACTACAAATTGTAAGAACAGTTCACTTTGGGGTCATATGTTAACAGAATGCGTAATTTAGCATATTAAACACAAAAACAATGTTTCAAGTGAGAATTAGGCAGGTCTGATGCCAAAAAACGAAAGGAAATGATTGCCTACTTCATCCAGTGTATAGTTCCAGTATCCTAGTTAGCTACATTGCTAATTGGCAAAAAAAATTTTATTAACTACAGGAAACACTACCTATATTTGAATTTAGTTAAACTACCACCAAGCTACTACAAAATGTACTTAAATTACTAGTTGAACTACATGTAGTTCACACTGATTATTATTAAAGTGGTAATAAATAGGTCAAATGCATGTAATAGGCCTACACACATTAGGCTACATCAATCAAAATTATCTTGGTATATAAATAAATACCTGAGGTAGAGTGGTGCTATTTGGAGGGGGTTGCTTCTGTCCCATGAGTCGCCTGCTGTCGCAACGTACACCACTGATCCCTTTTGGAGTTTCAAAGGCACCTGCCCTTTCTTCCAGATCCTCCAATCACCTATGCGCAAGAAGTCGGATCTGAGTTTGATTGGCGGTGGTAGATGACAGATTTAGTGTCGTATGCATTTTTTATGTAAACATTGGAATAACTCATATTTATCACCTAAGGATAAAGATTCCTATTTCATCTCAAATGAGCGTAGGCTAATTTCTCATTATAAATAATCTAGTTCAATGCTGGTTTATTGCGATAAACCATGTTTCACTGCATTGCAGTTTGTCGTCAGAGTTTCTTGCGGCATATCCCAAATTGTAACTAACCACGTTTCCATCCACGGTTTTTATGGTAGTAAAGTCATACCTCATTAAAAAAAAAATCACGACAGCTGTGATGGAAAGAGGAAGCGTCGGTACAATTTTATAAATGCCGACAGATTATTTGTTCGTTTGACATGGTGGGATCTTTTTGTGTTGGTAAAATTAATTATGCGAGAAATGGTGGTGGAAACGCCTTTATGCTCAAATATTGATATAAATAATAACTATCATGTCGAAGTAAACTTGGAGTCACACGATGATATGGTGTGTGGTCCTCCCACTACAACTCCGGAAACCATGCAGTTTATTAGGCTACAGATTAAATACATTCTAATGAACTTCACAGGGGCTTGAAAGTGCACGGGGATGAGTTTGATGCTCCTTTCCAATAAATATCGAGGGTATTATTCTGGTGACATGATGATCGATGCTTGACTGCCGTTTTACAAATACAAATATTATCGTTTTATCCATAATAATCTCATCATGTAGACTAGCCTACCTGCACTGTATCTACGAGCTGTTGTCTAAAGCGCTTGTGCCAAGACCAGAGTAGGCACATTTGCTATTTAAGGCAACAGTTTTCGTGACAGAATTTTCGGTAGAGTCGAAAATGCAATGGAAAATATTGAATTTGGGATTTTTATTCGGCACATTAAAATTGAATTTGGAGTGAACTCCATCATCACGCATTACTTTTTATCTGCAACAAGTCTGTGGGAAAATGTGGTTAGACTAAGAAATGTG